GTCCAGCAACTTGGTTCTATATTAATGAAGGCAATTAATATAATGAACACCGCACCTCTGCAACACTCAAGGTCAAGAATAACGTCATCACAGCTGAGTTGACGTCAATATTAACTATATTAAAGTATTTCATGCTAATTATGACGTTACATTATATTTTTGTAATTGTATTTATGTTCTCTATCATACAATGACGACATTTTACTGTTATTTGTCAAATATGAATATTGAGATGTCAGATTCAACTATAACCAAATATAAATGTCAAATAAACAACTGGGTTTACAACTGAATACTGGATTTGCCCAAAACTGTTGAAAGGTCGTTATGAAACGTTACAAGTCCCCGAAACACGGGACACTTACGGTCCAAAATGTATCTGTGATACCGATATCAAATACCAAGCCCGATAACCATTTCTTTTCTCTCGTTTGAAGCCAGCATCAAACATTAGTGCATACTTTTACCTAGTAGTTTATAAAAGGTTTGGGGCGGTGGGGTAGCCTAGTGGTTAAAGCGTTGGCTCGTCACGCCAAAGACCCGGGTTCGAATCCCCTCATGGGTACATTGTGTGAAGCCCATTTCTGGTGTTCCCCGCCGTGATGTTGCTGGAATATTGCTAAAAGCGACGTAAAACCAAACTCAGTCAGTCAGTATAAAAAGGTTTAGTATATTTCTAATTATCTAGTCTGTCCACAGCCTGAACCACATTGATGTTGCTGGAAGCACCCTATGTGCTAAAGCCCCAAATAAAAAGTCGACGTTCAAAACCAACGGTGTCTCCCTAGCAATTGAAACTTTCAATATGAAATGGGCTTGTTAGTGTCAGTATCAAAAAATAACAGAAAAAGAAAAAGTAAGCCTTAGTATATTTCTATCCTGTGCTGTAGTGAATGTAGTCATACTCTGTTGCGTCCCCAGCTGAGCTGAGTGGCGCTGGAGGGGCCCGTGTGAAGATCCTGCCAACCAGCACCAGTGTTACATCCGTCTCCACCATCTGTGACGAACCAACCCCTACGGTGACGGCACTTTCAGCATCCTTTACAAAAATGGTGTGTCATGATTCTGATGACTATTATTTTTAATTGCAATGATTTTGTCTACATTGGAAATTTCTCTCAAAACAAACCAAACCTTTGAAGTTTTGGAGAATGTTTTAATCCCTATTCAAATGGTTATAGTTTTGGCAGATATGATAACATGACCCAATAATAAATCAATTTATTATGTTCCAAACCAAAACAATTTATTTTGTTATTTCAGTTGTGTTTTCTATATGATTGTTCATCCAAACATCAAGTTCATTCTAGAATGCTTGTGTTTCTCTACATTCCCAATGAACATGACAAATACTCTCACGTAGCTCATTACAAAGTACTGACTTGTTTTGAAATCAAGTTTCATCTGTAAGTCATAAAAACCCATACCAATCTGTATTGGAAATCAAAGTATCATTAGTTAAAAAAAGATGCTTGCCATTTAAGACACACTTTAGCTAACTCTTCACTAGAAATCAAGGTATCATAAAAAAATCTAGAGCCTTTGCATGATTCCAGTAAATTCAAATGACATTCAGTTATGAGTAAATACAAAAACTGGGATATTTCTAGAGTGTCTAATGGTATATTTCCAAGTATCAGGTAGTATATTCAAAACATGCAAATAGTCCAAATATGTGCCTTTAGTACCACAAATTGCCTTCAACTTGTCAAAGGATAAGAAACCAGTTTTGTCACATAGATCCAATTATGGTTAAACCATAGTGATTGGGCTTGGATTCATAATTATCTCCAGAATTCACATGACTTTTTTACAATATTTGTTCCATACTTTCAAAACATCCTTCCAATCAGTGTTATCAATATGTATTACTTGATCAACATCTGTACAGGATTTTAAAATGACATCAAAAGTAATATTACAGGGATTTTAATTGTTGTTTTTCTACAATATGATCTCAGATTGGCAAGTTTCAATGCTTCACCAAAAGCTGCAGTGTCAACAATCCTTAATCCACCATCTCTGTATATCCTTTTCAAATTGTTCCTTTTGATTTTATCAGGTTTGTCATTCCATATGAATTTGAAGAAGATATTTTGCTATAAAGTAATGAAATCCTTTGGAGGATTAAGCATAGTATTGAATTTATGAACAAGTTTTTGACAGAGCCTAAGTTTTCATTACAGTTATTTTACCAATCAGAGTCAAATGTATTTTCCTCCATTGTGCAAGCAGTCTATTTAATTCCTCTAGTCTTTTTTTGAATTGATTACTCACAAATTGTTAAGATCTGTGTGGAATTTAATTCCCAAGGCTTCAAATACAGTATTTTGCCATTCTATTTTAATGTCTTTGCATGATAAATCAGTACTATTTCTCTTTGAGACAATCCATATTGCTTTTGACTTATCAATGTTTATTTTAAGCCCTGACATTTTATAAAAAGTATTTATTTCATCAATAGCAGCCTTTAAGCTTTGTTCACTCCCACCAAGAAATACTTCAGTATCATCTACATATTGATTTAATTAATAGTTACTCATTATTGGTTGTTAGGGACTCGGTTAATGTTTTCTTTAAACGGTTAGTGATACAAGTGCTAATAATTTTATAAAGTGCATTCAATAAAGTAATAGGTCTCCATTTTTTCAAAAGTGTGTTATCTCTGTCAGCTTTAGGTATGCAAGTTATTACTCTTCTTTTCATAGTTATAGACATGATTTTTTTCAGAAATATTTTGAGTTCCTTCCAAAAGAATTTTAAAAATCATTTGTGAATCCATCAAATCCGGGCTTTTGTTATTTTTCATATTCTTAACTGCATAGGTAATTTCATTCATATCAGTCTCTTTCTCCAAATTGTTTCTTAACTCATCATTAAGGGTTGGGGTTTACAATGTTATCTAGAGGGGTTGGGGGTGGGGGTGTGACTATCTGTTAAATCCTCATTGGTGCTTGACAGAAGTTTATTAATAGAGTTACTAACATAATTTCTGTTTTCCAAGTGACAAAGATATTTTGTTGGTTTTTCACCTTCTTCATACCAGAGCAGCCTATTTCTCATTAATATTCCTCTCATTTCTTCTTCTTTCATCTGTTCAAGCTGGGTTTTGTATTTTGAAAGTTCACCTTGCAAATTTTCACTGACGTTTTGAAAACATCTTCTTAAATCTTCTTCAAGAGTCTTTATTCTAGATTCTAGTTCATCAGTTCTATTCTTTTCACTTTTTTTGAAGATATGTAGAATAGGATATACTCTTACTTCTTATTTTCATTAGCAGGGTTTCTTGAAATAAGTTATCATCAATCTTAAGCTGTGTTTCCTTTGGATTATTATAATCGACTGGTCCAGATATCGTGTTTTCATCAATGGCTTCTTTTATTGTATATCCAACTAATTTTCCATAACCTGGGTTTAGAAGCAAGGAATTATTGAACTTCCAATGACCTCTCCCTCTTTCTTGGTTAATAGAGTTTGAAAAAAATAGGGAAATAGTAGAATGATCAGATTTATATCCTGGTAAAATATTGGAATCCAAGGTTAGGTCACAAATGTCTTGTGAAATCCTGAAGATTTCTAGTCTAGCTTGTTGCCTTGGATTTAATTTCCACCAGGTATATTTAATTCTCTCCAAATATCGAAAAGGTTGTAATATTCAAGAGAGTTCAATACTTCTTCTCTGGATTTTGGGTCATTTATGTGTTTATAATTCTCTAAGTCTATTGATGGGTCTAAAACAAAGTTCCAATCGCCCACAATGACAATCTTTTCATTTCCGAAATCATGAATATTTTCAAATATGTTTTTATAGAAATTTGGGTTATCGTTATTTGGTCCATAGAGATTAGTATGTTCTTTTATCTTCTACAGTTAGATCTGTGATGATTTCCATTTTCATCGATAATTGTTCTATGTATATTGTAGTCAATATCATTATTGAAAAGTATTACGACGCCTCTTGCGTTACATTTATAGGGAGCAGTTATACATTGCAGACCCCTCTCATATTTTCATAGTATTCACATTTTCGGGGGTTTATAAGGATTATTTATTTGTTAAAGAATTACGTGGTATATTAAAGATAAAGAAACATTCCAAATACGCGGGCGTAGCGAGCAGTTAAATAAATGTCGGATTAAAATCCCAACTTGTTAATTTATATTCACTTTTTCGGGTTTACATTTTAATGTGTTTATGTAAGTGTATTTTGTAATAGTTTGCTTATCTGACTGATCTCTTACAAATAATACATCTGGTCGACTATGATAGCTTTAAGCATCACAATTATGACTGTCTGTAGCTAATGTTGAACACAGGCACCAGCATATCGACAGAGGCAACCACCTGTCCAACTGACCTACAAGGATACTACTTATACACCCTCAACGACGGCACGACGACTCACTGCAACGACAACAGTTATCTCGACGTGTGTACCGACACGAAGCTTCTCTCCTTCAACTACACCCTGTGCAACAGCACTAACGCATTGTATTCTGGTGAGCTAAACAAAAATATTCTTATGAAAATTTGTTATTTAGATTGTGTAAAACAGATGGTGTTTTGAGTTGATGTGTTTCATACAGCGTATGTACGGGGTAGCGCCACTTTTTAACAATATTCCTGCAATATCACGGTGGAGAACAAAAGAAATGGGCTTCACACATTGCACATATGTGGGGAATCGAACCCGGGTCTTCGGCGTGATTAGCAAACGCTTTGACCACAAGGCTACCCCACCAATCCGTGTTACTTCAGAACTGATTTGTCAGATTGATGCTAAAATGATTGACACAAAAACAGTAGCCACCAATATATCAGGGACATCGTCCACAAGCCACGCCCACACTGTCACCAGCCAGTGAATATACAGTAGTCTAGTGGGTGTGGCCTAACGTTATAGATTTATGAAAACATTAATGAACAAAACGTATATGTATAAGTGTGATTAGAAATATATCCATTCCTAATATAATTTATACGTTTGAAAATTTTCGTATTTTCACCTTTGTCCTACATCATGTCGAGTCTCTTCCCAGAATTGGGTCCCTAAGTAGACAATTTCTGTGGTTTCTTGGTTACCGATCAAAACATCGAAATCGTGATGTGTCTATCTTCCATCACTCGCTCACGTTGTTCTATCGCTCCTGTTGCAGCCGGCGGTCAACTGTACTGTCTATACAGTCAGAACACAAGCTCCACCCACTACACGATCCTGTACAACGCTGACGCGAGTGTTGATGACAGCACAACCTACCAGACTGTATGCATGGTGAGATCGTTGTTATTATATTTAGCAACTGAAAATAGGACGAGCTGATGTGTTGGTGGACCACAGGTCGGCACATGCTATCAACCTTGCATAGTGGTAATATAAGTTATCACATCGTGTCGAGGGAAATGCGGGGTTTTATCAGTCCCGAGTAAGGTTGTATTTCCCGAGCCGGAGGCGAGGTGAATACGACCTTACGAGGGACTGATAAAACCCCGTATTTCCCTCGACACGATGTGAAAACGCATTTATCTAGCCGAATGTTTTTCCTAAATGAAAAGAAAAGAAAAGAAAATTCTCAGTTGTTGTGGCAAAACGTATCCTCAGTGCAGCGCACGTTTCTAAAGGCTTGGCGATGCACGCTTTTCTCACTTCGCGTGGTCACCGAGGCGTGGCGGGATAATACGACTTTTGTACTCCCTGCTCGCGGATCGTCACGGGTGTACATGGTATTTTATCAGAGTCACGTGAACCAATCAAAACTCGACATTCTTACATGAGGCTGGATAATAGTATTGTTATAGTTTTAGTTCAACGTCGGTCTACATATTTGCGCTCAGCACACTCAATAATTAAAAACAAAGCATTATACTGAGACAACAGGGTAAAAATGTTCATTTGGCCACATACCCAAGTCTATATGTATGATAATAATGTCTCCATTTATATAGCGCCAAACTCCACCCCAGGTATACTCATAGAGCTAACAATCAAAGCACAGCACATTATTACCCCGGATAACCCAAGCTGCCTGTTAGGCCATGATTTATCCCACCGGGTACCCATTTTCTGATGGGTGAACAGAGACAATTTTGAACAAACTCATTTCCCTAAGGTGAGACCACATGTGCTTCGTTGTGGGGCATGACTGAAGTCTCAGGAGTCAAGCTGCCAAACACGGTCACCCATCCAAGGACACTCTCCGCGCCCAACGTTGCTTGACTTCACCTGATTGTGACCTGCACAGGATCACAGACCATCAATAATTTGGCTATCACAAGCTTCACGCACAGCAGTACTAATAGTGAAGTTGCGAGCCCTGAACTCTAATGTTATTATCCACAGAACATTTAACAAGGTAGCGCTCAGGTGGTGACTTCAAACTGTACAATGGCCACATTTAGAAAAGAACGCCCTATTGACGATATTCCTATCTAGGAGCCACGGTTTCACCACGGTGACGTTTGCGATCAGATACGGCAGATAGTCGGCCCGGCAGTGCAAGCACCCCACAATTGTTCACAACGTATTGAAATAGATTTCGATGAAAACAGCTTCAAAATTAAATTTAAAAACGTTAGAACTCAGTCCAGGCCTGGACAGATGCCTTGGAGCAGAGGGATCTAGGGGATTACAATTGTAAAGACCATGCGAAGCAGATAATCTCTGAGTTCAGCTTGACCGCCCCACATGATATATTCCACACATTCGCAATCTCTATAACGTGCTCTTTGATTTCATCTTAACCATGCATGGATTGCTCGTGAGTTCATCACCCCGACAGACCAATGTTTATCTTTAAATGTATTTGTTTCCAGTTTTAGCTACACTTAGCAATAATCCAACTGGAATTGTTAAATTACATTCAAAAGGTAGAAATTCGTGCCTCACTCATTTGAAAAGTACCTTCTTAATAACCTGTGAACCAAAGGAAGCGATTGACCTTTGAGTTCGACCTGCTGACACACATTATACACATAGGATTTGACCAGTTGTATCATTCATTCCGGAACTGTGAGCCAAAATTGATAAGACTGAATTAAAAGTGATATGCTTTAAATTTGGATTTAGTCAGAAAGTTACATAAAAAGTGGTTTGAATATTTAAGAAAGTCAAAAGGGATCTCCAGATCAATATCAAATTAGCAAAATTAACTTTTGCCAAGAAAATGTCAAGAAAATGTACGTATTGCAAGTACGTAGAGACCGCAGCTTACTGTATGTGCTCCCAGACAAACATTTGGAGTTGACTGGATTGACCTCTCGGTGGTGTCCCAATCGCAGAAAACTGACCATGGCGAACACGGTGCAAAGATAAGTTGAAGTAATGAAGGAACGTAGAGTGTACAGGTATTAATGATATACTAAATCCCACACAACAGAGAGGGGTTTGTATCATGAAGCTTCGTCTGATTCCTGCAGGTCCTCGAGAAGTCCAGCAGCGGTGCAGTGTACGCCACCCAATATCCCAAAGAATGTCAGAACGCCACCGTCATGAATTCCACAGCAGTTGCCTCCCCTGGAGCCAGTTTGATCCTAACGCTCAATGGTAAATCAGTTATGTGTGTGTTCATGTATGTGTGCTTAATGCGTGGACTCGCGAAGTTAATAATTAGTCTTCAGTAACCCATGCTTGTCGTAAGAGGCGACTAACAGGATCGGGTGGTCAGGCTGGATGACTTGGTTGACACATGTCATCTTATCCCAATTGCGAAGGTCGATGCTCATGATGTTGATCACTTGATTGTTTGGTCCAGACTCGATTATTCACAGACCGCTGCCATATAGCTAGAATATTGTTGAGTGCGGAGTTAAACAACGAAGTGAAACTAAATCAGTTCTTGTGCAAGGATCAGTGCCTGAAGGACTCTGAGCCTGACGAATGGCGATGATATATAGAGTTGCATGGTTGTTAATTATGTTTTACACAAACCCATGAAGCAACAGTTGACGATGACATCCCTTTTCCATCAGTTTTAGGACCATATGCATTAACTTTGCTTTGAACTGCTTCAAATCACATATGTGGCTGTGTTAATGTGGTTCTGTTCTTGTCTTTTCAGATTCCTGTCGTAAGTAAACCCAGCTGGCATTATACGCGCGCAGGGACGTTGTAACGCAAACCAGTGTCACCAAAGTGTAAAATCCTTGTATGTGGTAGTGATACTTGATGTCGATTCTAGCTTAAAATGTATACATGTCGGCATTTAATCGCACAGGCAAGACTGGAAAGAATTATGTGTAGAAAAAGTACTTCGGCTTGTCGTAAGAGGCGACTAATAGGATCTGGTGGTCAGGTTCGCTGACTTGGTTGACATATGTCATTGTATCCCAGTTGCGTAGATCGATGTTCATACTGTTGATCACTGGAATGTCTGGTCCAGATTCGTTTATTTACAAACCGGAATATTGCTGAGTGCCAGATTAAACAAAAACAAACATGTTGACTGTCATTGTTTCCCCTAGCTGTCACCACCACGGCCGCCGCGGCTGAACAAACTAACACAGCGTCTGTAATCGGGGGAACACTCGGAACTCTTATCATCATCGCTGCCGGCGTCGTCATCTTACTCGGCGTCTTGTGGTGGATGAAGAGTAAGAAGACGTCGTCCAAGGTGGACAAGCAGGAGGAGGACAAGGAAGTGATCATACCTCAAGGTAAAGGCGACATCAACTCCAGGACGTTGTTCACGCCGACTAACAAGATCCCACTTCACAACGAGGGCGAGGTTCTTTCACAACGTCAGATCCACACCAGCTTCGACAGCACGGACGGCACGACTGGGGGAGAGGGGGAAAGCATTACAAATGAGTACGGGGAAATCCAAGCTGACGAGATCATGATCGTATCCGAAGGCAGGACTCTGAGCAACGACCAGCTGACGGAAGCCAGTCTTCCCGTGTCCAGCGAGGGAGGGGAGACACCTCAGCCCACCGAGGTCACACCTCCCGGAGTGGTCAACGACAGCATTGAGAGTGCTCCAGCCACCGCACGCACACCCCGGACTTAAACCCTAAGGGAATGGCGGACAAGCGTTAACGTCAGAATAACGTTAACGCTGAATCATAGATGCATAAGATTGATTAGACACCTGTAACAATGGATATTTAAAAATAAAACATGCTCCAGGGCGAATGGGTGTGTTTACACCAGTCGTCTCAACGCCAGGACTAAAGTAAATCACATGCGTCTCCTTTCCTGAGTGGACAGTGAGGTAGCCGAGCGGTTAAAGCGTTCGCTCATCATACATGAGGTGTGCGTTCGATTCCCCACATTGGTACAATTTGTTGAGCCCATTTCTGTTGTTCCCGTGGCTACATTGCTGGAATGTTGCTAATAGCGATATAAAGCTATACTCATTCTCCAAATCGTGTATCAACCTTTTTGTTATATTTCCTACAAGTCAACGTGTTAGTCGTTTTCAGAGTGCTTCATACGAATACTTGTAGACATTGATGGGAAACACACATACAATAGACATACATTGGACTCGAGAGAGTAAATAGATTATTTGTTGACTGGTATATTGATATACAAGATGTCAGACTGTGTCAGTAGATACATGCATACCTTTGCATCATCAGAATCAAACCTGGCAGGACATGTAGCCAGTCTAGTCCAGGCCAACTGTCTGTTTATATATTAATGGCTATGCTTGGAAAAACAACGAGTCATAAAACAAGTATGTTCTGGCTTTTGAACATCTAATATACAGGCACGTATATGTCCAACTATTACAGTTTGCCTTCAAAAGTATACCTGATCTTGCACATCATCAAATGCCAACCAAAGCTGCGATGATAAACATTGTTTCCATTGTATTTCAAAACATTGACATGCACATATTTTGCTTACTACTGTTATTATTTTCCCAGTGTTCTTGTCATGACTGGTTAAACAGTTTTATTGACTTCTAGTGTATCTGTCAATGCTTTAGTTATCACAATGTGACTTCGTGTTTCATACGAACTGAGGTGTACTTTTGTATAATGTGACTTATATGTATTAAATGATTCTTTACATTCCAGTCTGATATGTCGAAACAGTACTTTTCAATAAACAAACATCTCATTCAGAAGTTGTTGATAGTGATGTTCTGCATCAGTTTTTTTCAAACGTAAGCAGTTATCTCATTCATCAGATCTTAATGCTCACTGTTGCTATCCAAAGCTTCACAGTAGCGAGGGTTTTATTTAGGATCTGATTTCAATAAGCTTTTTTCAGTAGTTTCCCAATGTTAATGTGAAGCTTTACAAAATGTTCTGAGTAATGACACCTGAACAACCCTACCTCATTTGAACTTGATTCAGTCTAAACAAGCACTTGTCCAAATAGTGTGAATGTGTCTTTTTCAAAATATTTTGTACTTTTAAAAATGTCATCCCATCTGGATCTGTGTATACTACATGTTGCCTGGGAAACTCCAACTATACACCTGCAGTGATGATCTGAGTTAGAACTTGTCTTCAGCAACCCATGGTTGTCACAAAGTCAACTGCTGAAATCAGATGACTGACTTGCTTGATAATGTGATCATATCCCAACTGTACAGACAAATGTTCAAGATGTCAGTCACTGGATTGTCTGGTCAAGACTTAATTATTTATAGAAGATTACCATATCCCGGTAGCTGGAGGGGAATTAAAAACAACTGACACTATATATGAAACTTGCTGATCATTCCCCTGCAAAAACAAAGTGAGTGAGTGAGTTAAGCTTTTCACCGCTTTTACCAATATTCTAGCAATATCACGACAGGGGACACCAGAAATGGGTTTCTCACATTGTATCAATGTGGGGAATCGAACCCGGTGTAGCAGGCCATTTCTTCCCCGGTCTAAACTTTCCCTGGGAAGTTTTGTCCTAGGATATTCTTATCCCGGGGAAAGTTTGGGCTACGCTAAAGTTTTCCCCCTGTTTAAACTAGGATATTTTGTTCTGTTTTCTATGGAAAGGGGGGAGATTCTGGCCTAGCTGGGCCACTTCTTCCCCACCCTTGCTCTTATATAAAAAGGGGGTGTTTCTGGTCAAGCTAGGCTACTTCTTCCACACCATTGCTCTTATATCAGAAGGGGGAGAACAAGTTATTACAAACATCAAACAGACAGTAGTTTTGACTTAAAGTATGGTACACATTTTTTCCAAATAGTCGATTCTTGCGTCTGACTTGGGTGTACTAATTTGAATGCACGGCATGTTTGAACGGCATATATCCCTAAATCCATCCTGCTTCTGGCGCCATTCCTATGAAGACACATTGCATTAGTTCTTCATCTGTCAAATCATGTCGCCTAAAGATGTAAACATTCAAGTATACCCCTTATCAAATCTTGTCTTTTGAATTTAGAATAAGTCACTATCGTGGAATGACAGATGATACAGCATTTGATATAGATATTGTGTATGGTTGTCGTGTTGATTTTTACGTCCGCTTTATGTCGCCGATGTGGATGCCATATTCAAAGCCATGAGTGAGGGAACAATATTTTGAATGGATATGGACATCCAAGTAAAAACTGGGTATTTAGTCAAAGATTCAAATATAGTAATGATTTTGAGATGGGCCAATTTGGAAGAAGTGGGGATAGGTAAATTATTGAAATATAAAAATGCGTAAATGATAATATAAAACAATAGTAATGATATGATATATAATAAAGTAAAGAAGAAAATTGTAATATTAAATTATTTTTAATAATTTGGAATTAGGGAATTGTGTTGGGTCAAACATGATTATTATTACCAGTGGTTGTTTATATTTTAGTACTTATGTCACAGAGATACATATTGATACAAAACTTTTATATTTAATTTTCTGTTAAGCTTAAGGGTCTACTGCATACATTTCTGTACCTGTCCTAGCAGGTTGCACCTGGTGCAAGTAACTTTGTAATCTCAATAAGTTCTAGCTCATGATTATTTGATCATTATTGATATATAAGAAGATAAATGATTCAAGAGATTCATACTTTGTTTCATGACAACATCTGCATCATGAACTGTATATACATGCTTACATACTTGTGATACTTTGCTTTTATGCTTGGTTGCTTTTCTTTTTAATCTCACCTTTTATAAGGCTATTCAAACAAAATGTGAACCATGTACATGTTATATATGAAGATGAAGATGAGGATGACCTGAAATTGTTGTTAATGGAACGTGCTCATGTGAATACCTATGTCTTGTTTTCGTCTCTGACTTTTCCAAGACGAACATAAACATGAAACCTAGGTTGGAGAAGAAATAGCCCAGCTGGCTAGAATCTCCCCCCCTTTCGATATAAGAACTGGCCGGAATCTCCCCCTTTCGATATAAGAACAAGTGTGTGTGTGTGTGTGTGTGTGTGTGCGTGTGCGTCCGTGCGTGTGTGTGGTTTGGCCTAGGCCAAAGTTTCCCCAGGGAAAGTTTGTTCTAGGCCAAAGTTTCCCAGGGGAAGGTTTGACCAGGGGGAAACTTAGGTCTGTTACACTGGGTCTTCGTGACGACTGAGCACTTAAACCACTAGGCTACTCCACTGCCCCTGCAATAACAAAGACAACTCATTTCCCCATACAGGTTTTAATCCACTGACCAGAATATAGATAACATGCCATGATAACAATCATGAGAGATTCACAATCAACAATATATGACAAGGATTCATGTAGCAGTAGTGAGTTTAGTTTTATGCCACACTCAGCAATATTCCAGCTATATGGCGGCAGTTTGTAAATAATCGAGTCTGGACCAGACAATCCAGTGATCAACAGCATGAGCATCTATCTACGCAACTGGGATACGATGACACGTGTCTCGTGTAGCAGTATGACATATGACACTTCATTTGGTGGAGAAAACTAACTATGATATAATCATGAGAAATATATTCAACTAAGGAAGTAAGTTAAATGGTCTGCATTGTGCTGCTAAAATAACAAAATAAAATAACACAATACAAAAATCATTCCAAATAATACCAACACATTTAACAGAATACCTACAAATATACTCTTTGGTATGAAAAATATCACATTCTGAAAAACCAGCATGATCATAATCCACAAAACATCTTTTCATGACCTGACACAGGCTTACCAGGTTTCTACTGGCTAATAGGGCCCTTGTTACATCCCCTCCTTTCCATAGTTGGTGGACAGATGAAGGCTGTTTTAACCTGTGCTCTATCTTAGGAACTTGTCTGGGGTGAAGAGACCATAAGTCATGTGACTTGGTCTTAATACGGTTGTGAGCCAGTATTTTATCCCGGTTTGTCACTTTCATGGAAATGGGTGAAAGTTGTAAGTAACACAGGTAAACAATGCTTACCATTTCGGTAAATATTGTTGTTCACTGAAAGTACATTTTCTGTGCTTACAGACAGCCATTCATTTCCATGATCCAGCTCAGCTAAGGGAAGTAACTCAAACTCCACACCAGACTGTCGGGCTTAGATCCTGACAGAGCTAAGGGAAGTAACTCAAACTCCACACCAGACTGAGGGACTTGGTTGATTTAGCCACCCATGCATTCTGGTACAAGGGAGATGAGGAAACAAAATGAACATTAACAAAAAGAGTGTACCACACAGTGGAGAGAGTCGCCATGTTTTAAGGTCATGAAATACATGTATTAATGACAACTGATCTGATTATTGTTTTTTAGCACATCAGAATGCAAAAAATATTTGTGCTTCGAAATGTAATTGAAAACAAGCATGGCAAGAACGCACACGAAAGCACCTGGCTATGAACAGTTTGTTGCTAATAGCTGAAGCATGCTAGACATAACCCAACAACAAAGCTATAACAGGTAATATGATATACAATACAATACAGGAATCAGTGAATAAATTAATACTGCAGAACCCCTTAAATCTCAGCACACATGGGAACAGGAAATTGGTGTGGGTAGATTCACCCAGAACGCAGGGCGGGACCCCCACGAAGACAATCACAAGAGCTCATCAGGATTCAACTGAACTTGCCAGGGATGCAGGTAAACCCATCCAAGTGAACCCATTAGTGAGAGAAAATGGGGTAGCATTCATATGGATGTTAAACAATTAGCATTCTTTTGTATTGGGCACAGAGGTTACTTTGGAAGAACGCAAACTCATATCCTTAACTTCATAAATCCCATCACCCACGTGAAATTGTGTAAAGACAATTGTAATCATACATATGTTTTGAACAAACTTTGAAAATATATCACATGGCTCTTCATGAAATATCAAATAGACAACTGAATCAAACAAAAGAATTCACCTTCAAATACTACTTCAAAACTTAACAGCCAGTATTAGAAATTATTCATATGTTTATAGTCACTTAATAAGAATTGAACAAAATTTAATATTATGCCAAGAGAGCCTAAGCCATGCTCTAAATACATAGATTTCTGAAACAAATAAAGTAAGTTAAATAGTAAATATTTTGACAGTTTGAGGTAGCCGCTATACATGCTATATCTTTACAACATAGGTTCAACTGTAGTTTTGGTACAGACATTTAAAAAAAAATAACAACTGAGGAAATATTAGTAATAACACAACTAGACTAGTTACATTGCTGTTTCCAGGCAAGTGATATTTCTTTTCATATTACCTCAGGGCTCTGTGTTCAGAAAAGTTGATTGTCTGATATGTGTGAGCGTGTAATATACTGAACAGCAAAAGAAACGCAAGTCTGGCTTTTTGTCAAGTTTGTGAATAGAAGACAACCAAAATCATGTCCAATCATTTATTCTATAGACAACACTGTGAATTTAACAGCTGAAAGTTGCTTCTGACATTGAATTGCAATAAGTTCAAATTTATCACAGTCCGTCAAATGGAGATACCCGCGTGTATGGCCACCTTGAGCTTGCACACAGGCCGTGCAACGTGGCCTCATTGAGTTCAATAGAGTCTGAAAGAATGCCTGAGGCAATTGGTTCCGCTCAAACACCAATCTCTATTCCAACTGTACAAGTGTTAGTGGCTGTCTACCTACACCAATCCTCTGTCCAATTTCTTCCCAGAATGTTCAATGGGAGCCATATACGGGGAAAGAGACAGCCATGGAAAACGTTAATGTTGTTTTAAGCCAGATAATCCATCGACAACCCTGCTGTGGGAGGGCTGCAAATGTCGCTGGGGTTGTTGGCGTGTCAAAATTGGCCCCACATATGGCCTTCGGCAGTGGATTCCAGCAGCCCGAATACCACGCCTAATCGTATCGCTGGACACTGCTCCCCTTGACCCATGAACTAAGGCTGCTGTCACTGTTGGTGCTTGAGTTCGGTTCCTTAGATGAGTGACCCAGATGAACCAATCTTGCGCATGAGATATCACTCGTTGCCGTTCGGTACGGGGACGATCAGCAGCAACCCCAGTTTGCTGATGACGTTGAGCAAGTCGTGTAATCGTGGTAAGATGACAGCCCAATTGTCTAGCTACAACGGTTGCAGAGCTACCTCCGTGCAACTTTCCAATGGCCATTCCTCTCTGCTCAGTCGTGAGTCTAGGCATCGTTTGTGTAGCGTGTACATCTCCTAGTGTCAATACTGAACTGTTTTTTGACACCTTTATAAAGGATACTTCAGAGTGAAATGCATGCTATTCATCCAGAACCGTCGATGCACATGCTAAAATGATGGTTTTGCTGCACTGTTGGTGTGTTTGTGCGAATGGTTCGTATGGACATCAAATTGCATGACATCATCTCATCTTGGATCATTACGTCACTTTACCATGAACCTTCCATAAACATGAACGCTCACCTTCATGAGATTTCATTTTTTCGAAACTTGCGTTTCTTTTGCTGTTCAGTATATGATTATTAAACTATTCTTTTAAATGATTTACAAACATGATAAGAATAAGTGACATTCAAAATTGTGAAAATGTGAAGAGTAATTGAGCATGACAACTGATGTAGAACAATCTTCGAGTATTTCTGTTACATTATCTTGAGCATAACTGTTTCCTCGTTTACTTGGAGAACACTTACCTAAAGTCACAAACTCAGTCTTAGATAAGTGAAGACATTTTTCTCCCTACAAAGTCTGATAACTATGTTTACAGGGAAATACTGTCATGACACACAATGTGATCTAAAACACCCAGTTCAAATAGGGTTTGAGAACAAATTTGTATAGGATGTAACAGACTAGGAGGATGTTACTTCCTGCAATCTAGTGGCTGCATCATATGAAATATACCAATACAAATCCAAAACAAGGATATAACATTTGATATCAAGTCTGCCATAAACAAGACATTCCGACATGCTTCAACTGAACATGTGTATAATACCAGATTTTCCTTTTCCTTATTTTTAACAGGATTGATGCAGCCTAACGGTTTTCCAACACATTAAATGAGGGATATGAAAGAAACAGGAAATCTGTAGTTATTTTGGAGTAGTATTGTTGTAAGCTACTATTTCCTGCCATCCAACTGCTGCACACATTAACATATAAAGTTTTTAAGGCACCAGCGATATCACACCATCAGGATAACACAGAGTGGATGCTGTCTCTGGTCCTGATGGGATTCAGAAACAAACTTCGGAATACTTCATAGGTACATTGTATTTTACCAAAGTGGTATGTTCTGACTGTAAACAAAGCGTATGGAAACTGTCAATGTGTATAACCTACTAGCAAGAAACAAATAAAATCAATATACACAAGTTTACAGTCAAATACTTGTGTATACTTCAAACATTTCTTGCAAAAAATATCTGCATTTATGTTGTTGCATCTACCACCACGGTAAAAAACCTGGAATGCTTTGTGACATAATTTGGCACATATATAGACCTCATGTATTGTCCAATTAACTAGGTAGGCCTACTGATGTTTTTGACATTTCTGAATGCATAATGGTTTCTGCAATAATCTTCTCATACTAACAACCCATTACTTGTGTACATGGCGTGTGGGGGAAGGGGGTTGGGTCGGTGTCTGTGTCATAAATATTAGTGAGGTGAGGGTCATTCACATTGTACATGATTCTCTATAAAAATTATCATCACACCCCGTAGCCATAACTCGCCCAAAATACAAACCTTGCCCTACAATATTTTACATCACCATAGAGAAGATTCGGATGCCAATTATCAGCTGTCAACACTTTTCTGCAAAATAAACTGAATAAATCGTGGAGAAATATGAATGGCACAATCCTGTGGCTTTACAAGGTTACTCCTTGACCTTGCTGACGACCAGGGATTGAGTGTCAGGATTCTCCCACACCAGCTCCCCCGCGATGTACGTGGCCAAGGGTTCAAGGTTGTCATTGATGACAATAAAGTCAGCGTCTGTGTTGAACTCAAGTGTCCCTTTCTGTGCCGTTATCCCCATCATCTTCGCAGGGTGGAGAGAGGCAGCTTCCAGCGCCAGGACTTGGCCACAATCTGGGGGAACAAAATCATTACTATCACTCTTGTTGACTCCTTAAACTCATAGCTCACTTACTGAGAAACAATAATATAAAAAAATGTAAATTAAAAAGAAAAACACAATCAGAAGAAGTAAGAAAAAATATCTAACTTGATCTTTCAGTGCCTTACTTGTAGATTTGATGAAGTGCCTCACACAGTTATCCAGGGTTGAAATACTGAAACAGAAAAGACGAATCAACATAAGACCTTGTGATATGACCTGTTGTCACAAGCACCATAAAGATATTACAAGGTTGACATAACAGACAGTAATGGCATGTTGGTCTTCATGCTTCTGTTATGGGGTTCCTCCTCTTGAATTGGACAAGTACAAACTGGCAACTGCTTAACTGGGCTTGCCATTTTAGTCACCCCCATAAGAGTGACAATCTCATCAAAGCAGATTTTAGTTCTCTTAGCTACTGCTCAACAAAGATCTGCGGACATCCCATATCTTATCACGTCAGAAAGACCTTTCATCCACCCAATCACAGCATTGCTGAACAGATTGGGACAGTGATGGTAATAGTGTTTTCTAATAATCTAACCACACAAAAGTTAACACAGGGTATACCGCACAACAACACATCATTGTCTGTCATTTGTTTCAGTGGGATAAACATTTGAAATGGAGCAGACTTAAGATAACCTGTAGGAAGTACTGCCATACAATCTTGGAGACCTATTGGCAGGGCTCGGAAATTCCACTCGTCCGCTCGAATTGATGAGTAAAATTTGTTTCAGGCAAGAGAAAAACATAATTTGCTCATCCTACTGTGGACGAGTACGTTTTCTGACCCAAAAGTAACATTTTTTCTTTTTCCTTGAAGTTCAGCTATCTTAAATGGTGAATGACTTCCATTTTTTCAAAGTTTTTGAACCAAGACAAAGTAGGTAATGTTTATTGCAGTTTTATTCCAAGCAAACATTTGTAAATTAGATAATTTTTTAAATTTATATTCATTGTGATGCATGATCTATAGGGCAAGTACAATTTTAGAAGGACGAGTGGAAAGTTCATAGGGCGAGTGCAGATTTTTCAGTTTTCAAGCCCTGTATTAGGCAATATAGACACACTTTTTGGATAAGGAACTGTTAATAATTTATGGCTAGGGGGGATGATAATGATGATTTTTATGGAGAAGCATGTACAATGTGAATGACCCCTCCTAAAATTTATGTACATAGTAAGTGACCCCCCTGCATGTCATGTACAACAAAATCAAGTATCACACCCCACCCCCACATAGTTTGTTGGCAAATATTAGAAATACTTATATGTACAAAGTTGCTGACCACCCTGGTACATGTGCATAAAAGTAATGACAAACACACCCCCGACCCCCAAATTATGTACTTCTCATACCATTGTGGACCTGCTTCACAAAGGTACAAGAATTTGTATCTCAGTATAATCAGAACCATCAATCTCAATGTGATCAGAACCATTACATGGAAGTGGCTTATTCACTGATTTCATTCACTTACTCACTCACTCACCTTCCACAAAGTGTATCTGTCCCAGCCAACACTGCTCTCTTTCCCTTGATTTCAATCTCCTGCTCCCCGAACACATAGAAGCCCTCTGGTAGACCCATTGCCTGGATGGCATCCGTAACCAGCACTAACCCTGTACAACACAGGTATAACTGGGATATCACATGGTCCTGTACAACACAGGTATAACAGGGATATCACAAGGTCCTGTACAACACAGGTATAACAGGGATATGACAAGGTCCTGTACAACACAGGTATAACAGCGATATCACATGGTCCTGTACAAAACAAGTATAACTGGGATATCACATGGCCCTGTACAACACAAGTATAACAGGGATATCACATGGTCCTGTACAGTACAGGTATAACAGGGATATCACATGGCCCTGTACAACACATGTATAACTGGGATATCACATGGCCCTGTACAACACAGGTATAACAGGGATATCACATGGTCCTGTACAACACAGGTATAACTGGGATATCACATGGTCCTGTACAACACAGGTATATCAGGGATATCACATTGTCCTGTACAACACAGGTATAACAGGGATATCACATTGTCCTGTACAACACAGGTATAACAGGGATACCACATGGTCCTGAACAACACAGGTATAACTGGGATATCACAAGGTCCTGTACAACACGGGTATAACTGGCATATCACAAGGTCCTGTACAACACAGGTATAACAGGGATATCACAAGGTCCTGTACAACACAGGTATAACTGGAATATCACAAGGACCTGTATAACACAGGTATAACTGGGATATCACATGGTCCTGCACAACACAGGTATAACTGGGATATCACAAGGTCCTGTACAACACAGGTATAACTGGGATATCACATGGCCCTGTACAACGCAGGTATGACTGGGATATCACATGGCCCTGTACAACACAGGTATAACAGGGCTATCACAAGGTCCTGTACAACACAGGTATAGCAGGGATATCACAAGGTCCTGTACAACACAGGTATAACAGGGATATCACATGGCCCTGTACAACACATGTATAACAGGGATATCACATGGCCCTGTACAACACAGGTATAACTGGGATATCACAAGGTCCTGTACAACACAGGTATAACTGGAATATCACATGGACCTGTACAAACACAGGTAAAACAGGGATATCACATGGCCCTGTACAAACACAGGTATAACTTGGATTTCACATGGCCCTGTACAACACAGGTATAACTGGGATATCACATGGTCCTGTACAACACAGGTATAACTGGGATACACATGGTCCTGTACAACACAGGTATACTAGTATTTGGGCCCGTTTTGGGCCTATTTTGAGTCCAGCGGCGCGCCCGGCGGGTTAGCGTTTTTTGCCTAAGTCCACGGTGCTTAGTATGACGGCAGGGGGAAGGAGTTTCGGGAGGGATGCGGTTTGACTTTGGGTATGTGGGGGTGCTGGGCGGATGTGGGAAGTGCAAAAAAACGCATGTTTGGCACTTATTTGGGCCCTTTTGGGGCTTATTTTGAGTCCTTAGGGTTTGAGCTAGGGTTACAGGTACGAGCTAGGGTTAGGTTTATTTCGACCCTTTTGGTCGATTTGGGTGCGGTTTTCGTTGGGACGTGTTGGGAGGCTGGGTGCGGAGGTGGTGAGCGCAAAAAAACGCATGTTTGGCACTTATTTGGGCCTAACCCTAACCCTAGCCTGCACAAGTTGAGGTAACGGTGAGTGTTAGGGTTACAGCTAGGGTTAGGTCATTTCGGACCCTTTTGGTGGATTTGGGTGCGGTTTTGGCCTTTGGGCATGTGCGGGGGTGCTGGGCGGGTGTGGGAAGCGCAAAAAAACGCATGTTTGGCACTTACTAGTAACTGGGATATCACATGGTCCTGTACAACACAGGTATAACAGGGATATCACATGGTCCTGTACAACACAGGTATAACAGGGATATCGCATGGCCCTGTACAAACACAGGTATAACAGTAGTTTTAGGGTGTATCTACTGACCTTGAGGGTGTACTCTGTGAGCAATACGGAGTGCTGCAGGATGAGTATGGATGCCATCGGAGATAAGGCCGTAATATATCGTCCTGTCCTTGGGTAGCCTCTCACTGGCGAGGAGACCCACAAGGTGAGGGTCACGGTGGTGGAACTGTGGGCAGAGCCAACTGCATGAAACATACCCCCACAAACAGAGACTGATGTCCAGTAATTTCTCCGTACCCAACTGACAGTTCACACATGGTGTCAGGGAGTAGAGAAATGCCTATATACTCCTGGTCTGTAGAACATGCAGCTACTGAGTTCAAACATAAAAAAAACTTAAAGGTCACATGCAACGTAAAACACAACTTTGCAGATTCTGATACCTTTCGGTATGGACTTACCGAAACAAAGCGTCAAAAATGCAAATTCAACTTATAAAGTTGAAAAATAACGCGATGAAAAAAAACGCGCGAAATCGGAGTTCAAACGTTTCACTAATTTTCCCCAGACTTTTCTGGGAATACGGGTTTCAACAGCTGGGCTGCGCTCATAGCACGGCGCAGTGAAATAGGTTTGCGCAACTTGGAAGCGGGCTGTCTGGTGAATACTCGGTGAAGGCTTTGGTGTGAGCTATTTTCATAATGTTTTGTTGATATCTCACAGGCGCGAGCTTTTTATATGTTATGACGGTAAATACTAGTAAACTGTTTATATAATTTCATTTGTCTATTTCACTACACGTTCTTCTTACCGAGTCACTTTCTCAGTTCGATACTTAAAAGCAATGTCATTATTTAGCGTTGACACAATTTCTAACTGTGATATAGATATGTCGTTGTCACAGACAAAACTCAGTGTCTTGTTTTATTGACACCTGTGTGTCTGCCTGCCTGTCTGCTAATGACAATATTCAATACACAACTGCGACCACTGACCACATGCAATTTGAACTTAACACCAATCAGGCTATACACCATAAACAAAACGCATTGATTTATGGCCCGAGTTCGGTCTCTGTCACATCATGTAATTACACAGACAGGTGTGATACTTGAACACATGACATGTTATGATGTCTGTTGATTGCAAAATGTTATACACAAAAAATGAGCATGTATTTACAAAACCCAACATCTCTATATATACACACACAATGAGCTGGCGGCAGCTGCTAATGAACCAGCCGTTACACTTGAGTGCACACCCACCCGCTCTGACTGGGTTCGGTATCCCGGCTGCTTCGTTTCGAGGGAGGTAAACCTAAGTACAAAATATTGCACTTTTGATTTGCGATTATACGCTTATAATTTTGTTTATTTCTTTTTTCATAATCAGCAATGCATATTATATGTCATGAAGAAGTGATAATTGTGTTTTAATTATGTTTGATTTTTTGGTTGCATGTGACCTTTAAGAGAGTTGGACTGTGACTGTCATTTGTTGTTCAGTTTTATAACCTTATAACCTGGCCTTCAAAATTCATGCTAGTCTGCTAGTTTGAGGCGACTGATTTGTGCTCGGGGCAAGTATAATCCAATGATGGTAGTCATCAGTGACTTGTAGAACTTGAGGGTTATAATTCTGTAACCAACATTGACATTAAAGCAGAGGCGGATACAGCTTTTTGAGAAAGTGTGTGTGTGTGTGTGTGCGTGCGTGCGTGCGCGCGCGCGCGCGCACACACACACTATTGAGAAAAGGAGGGGTGCACACTTCATTTTCACCTTAGTTTCAATGGTCATTTAACAAACTTTCAGCACATAAAGGGGGTGCACACCCCTGCACTCCCCCTCTGGATCCGCCTATGTAAACGTACTTACTGGCAGCATGGCATTGAAGAGATGAGTAATGTAACAAGCCCCCTGGCTCACAGCCTCCTCGCCCTGGACCAGATTACTCTGTGAGTGGCCTGGAGACACAGATCAAGGCAGCAGATGAGCAGTCACTGATACATCACCACACACATTCTACATGGGGATTCTGAAGAAGTTGATGCACATTATGCACATCATGATATGTTTATGACTTAATAAATTTAATAAAATCATCATTACCTAGACTGACCACGATTCCTCTCTTGATGAACTCCTCAATCACCATTTTAGAATTGTTCAGCTCTGGTGCTAATGTAACTATGGCAACATCACTAACTGAGCCGTATGTTTCCAAGACATCTTGGAAGCCATTGTCAAAGATGCGGATGTGTTCAGGTGGATGGGCTCCCTTCTTCTCCCGACTGATGAACGGCCCCTCCACATGGGTACCTACACACAGGGAAAGATGAGATGACAGACAGAGAGGATCATCTGTGTTCATGAAGCTGCTGATTGTGTAACCTGGTAACTGAACCCATGAGTGGACCCTAATGAACAATCTCCAGAGGAGGTAACGTGAGGTGAAACAACACAACAAACTTCATCTCACACATCCATAGGGTGATGCAACATACTTCACTGTCCAGAACCAGTCTGTTCAATATTACAAAGGTCTTTATTGCAGTCCCTTGGACACCAATTCTATATTTGGTTGGCAAGCGATATCAATATTTAGAGCTTATCATGTCTTAGGCGACAAAGATTTTCCATCAAAAGCTTCAGTTTGTCAACTGACCTAAAACACCAGCTCCTTCCTTACTGCCAGGGCACTGCTTGATGTGAGGCAGGATCTGCAGACAGTAACACAATCTTGTTTCTACAGGTTACCTTAGAAACACATACACATTAAGAAACGCTTTTCCATGATAGAAATTGTTTTGTACATGTACCCAAACAAACAAAAGTGCAAAAGTTTTTTCTAAATCGGGTAAAAATCTTTCAAATCAAATTCAAGATACTGTTAAAAGTTTAAAAATATTGACTGATTTCCCTGATAATTACAGACTAGTTGAATACTCTGGGAACACTAGTTCCAGGCTGTCTCCTATTGAAGCAAGTTGTGTACTGATCCATTAGAGGCAACTTAACAACTGTATCGTATATTCATGGTTACAACATCACAACAACTTTACAACGACTTTATTACAGACCAGTAGACATCCTGAATGCTTCATCCTGCTGAGACACCATTCATTTCATATGGCTATAATGATATATCCATCTTGTATACACATAATAAATACCACTGTTAGGGACCGTTCATAAGTTATGGCTTGGGGATGTGATGATGATTTTAAGGGGGGTCACCCATTGTGTGTGTGTGCGTGCGTGCTTGTGTGAGTTCAGCATTTTTGTACAGGGCATTTTTTTTTTACATAACATGCAGGGGGTCACTTACTTTGTACATAAATTTTAGAGGGTCATTCACATTCTTCATGCTTCTTCCCCTTGCCATAAATTATGAACGCTCCCTAAGTTGGAACTTTAAGAGAGCTATATAAACACCAAACTGTTAAGCATCCAAATCATTGCTGAATGGCCTTGACTACAGTAAATTCTGTAACAATAAATCCTGAGTCAAACCATTTTGTGGAGACAGGCTGAAACTGAAACAGGGAAAACAATCACTGTAACCTTGTGGTATGTGCTTGGAGGGGAGGTAATCACAGTTGGGCAAAATGATGTCACTCCGTGAGCTAGAAGGCCCTTCGCTACTTTGAGCACACCTTCTTCTATTGTTCCCTTGTCAGGCACCTGGGAGAAGTCCACACCAAATGCACCTGCATAACACAGGCACACATTGTGACACAAAGTAGATATTAATTAAAGTTTTGTACTTCCTAATACCAGCAACTAAGCCATGGATCTTGGTATCACAAATTTCAAGAGTCAATTCTTATCTTTGACTACCAGGCAATTTTCAGTAATGAGTGAAACAGCTGAACTGAAACTCAGTGAAAGACGTTTTTAAGAAAAACGGTTCTAGAAAGTAAATGAAAATATAATTTGACCTAAGCACATATGAAACACAACAGGTCCAGAAAATGTGGTGTTGTTCTTACAAACTGATTGCCTCCTACTTGTAAACCATGGAAGCACTGAACAAAATATGGTAGGGAGATGATGCTTGTATATTTATACTGGATAATGCTAGAGATTTCTTCTCTACTAAAAATGTTTGTGAATCAACGAAGTTTGATCATAATGACAGCAATATTATTCCATTTATGACTCAAGATATATAACAAAATTATTGAATGACGTCAGACCAACAAGAGTCAACTGAACCAGTTTTATGATTATCAAGAAGTTTTGGCATTCCATAAATGAAGAATGTGCATACCATGTTTTGTCTATAAATTAACAAGCCACCAATACATACCAGCATCTAACACTGGGTCAAATAATCTGGTCTTTCTTGGATGGATGGTGATTAATTGTTATTTTTGTGAAATAAACAAATTCTGCCACCATGTTGACATGTGGATGCAAAACTCAAAAGATTACATGGACAATGAAAGGTCTACAAAGCTGAATATCACAGAATGAATGATAAATATATGAAATGAAACAAAAGTTTAATTTAACACCGTTGATCTGTGTCTCGATGAACCCTGCACAGATGATAGCTCCATTACAGTCAATCTGAACATCAGCATAGGATTTTTCCTCAAAGAAGAGTATCTCAGGGTTGACAATCTTCCCATCTCGGACCCACAGGTCATCCTTGTAAATGCTGTGCTTCCTTAGAAGTCTGCAGTTTCTGTACTGATACAGTACACCATGTGAAGACTTGGAGGGCATACTTCTCAATTGTGCTGAAAAAATATATTCAGGTGACAGAGGAATCATGTAATTTAGGACTTTAAGTATGCTATAATTAGGATAAAAAAAATTCAACAAAATGTTGGAGACCAGAAAAATATGTATACAAATTTCAGATGAACTTCCTTATTTACTATATTGTTGGACTATATGTTTTCAAACATCAAATATTTTCAGACAGCATTGTTTACTCATGCTATAACCATAACAAGGTGTGGTCAGTCACACTGACATTGTAAAAACTTGGATGATGTCTTGTTCTGATTTGGTTCAATTACAATGATATCTAATATTCCTCTGACCGATGCAGGGTCATGACTGGACTGTATAGGACCACATTGCATGATTGTGGCTCTCGACTAATAGTCACCCATCATAAACATGCATGATGCATGTACAAGTGTATCTTAGTCAACAAACATTTTGTAAAAATATATTTGTTTATATTACTATTATAATGGTACATAGCACTTCACATTTCAAAGATAATACATACAACACAACGCATGTTACAGTTGATGAATTATTGATGCCATTATCAATATGTAACTTGAGATTAAAGAAAATGAGGATGGTAAGAGAGAGAGATAGATAAGGGAGTTATCAAATATACAATAATTTAGGCCTCTGCTCATTGAAATGACATTTTCATACACATGACTTCTTTGAGTGGCATTTTAGAAGTTGGAAGTCAGATAGAACAAGTATACTATATAATGGATGACTAGAATAAAAAAGTTGTCATCCATACATTTGTTCTATTTCATACACATATTGACATGTAGCCATGCATAACCACATGAATCAGGGCGTGAGTGTATTTGTAATCACCTTTGGTACTAATCGCCTGATAGGTTTTTCATATCGTTTTTACCATTGCCATAGTAAATGTAGCTATATATCAGATATATCGTTTACATAGTCTGCAGGATTAAATAAAAACTTTTTAGAGGTAACCTGATGATATCACTTATCAGTATACAACGACATAATGTTTGATTAAAAGCTTGTATTAAGTGATTGCTTGAAATGACATAACATGGCTGACAAGGGGTTTTATCGATCATAAATCCTGCCACGGCTATGTAAAGAGGGTGCTATTTTTTCACAAACTAAAGTAAATATAATAAATCGTAACATTGCCAATCAACTGGCCAGTAGATGTGACATGCATTATCAAGAACATGTGTGAAGTTAAACTTGGCAACACTTGCCATACTTACGCAGTTGTCTCAATTCTATGCAGGAAACAGCTGATTGTTGTCTTGTGACCTCAGAAATGAGGACATGCCCCGTTCAGAAATATTTTATGGGCGCAGCCATGTTTGTTTTGGTTTGATCCAAACGACTGTTGGTTGGTCGTTTGGTATATCATTAATCCAATAGACGTAAGGTTTACATTTTTACAGAACTAAAACTTGATTGGTTAGTTAATATTCCGGACAATTGTGTTTAGGTTTTATATATCTTTATATATATACGAACAAATACTACGTGGCAAATTACATGAACATCTTCACTCTTCTACAACCCTATTTTATTCAAATAAGAGGCATATATTTGTCACGAGCGTTTAATGTCATCCTAAAAACATTATCTTGGCCTTGCGTATATTTATCTGGTAGTTTCCGGCAAGGTGTTACCTTCAAGGTGAAGGTCAATCTTGATTACCTCCGCCGAAGGTGTTCGTGTCGGCCAGAAGTTGGGAGAAGTTTATTTGGCCCCACAGAAACTAAAATCGCTTATGTGTCGAACTTGAACAATGACATCCAGATATTACAGATTTCCTATTTTATTTGGCGGTGTAGTTGGTGTACTGTATTTCGGTTTCTCAATGAGGTAATTTGATGTCAGAGCTTGCAATTCTGCAAACTAACTTCACTGAAGACTTCAGTCTAAATTTTAGGGCCAGAGATTTAGAATTCGTGTCAAAAAGTAAAACAAAATCCCATTGCAGTTAGTCAAAGGCGTAGATATAATAGCACTTATTTTTATGTAATAAATGGCACGGAATAATTAAAGTAAGCACTATCTATCTATCTATCTATCTTGAACAAAGACCAGCACGTATCATACACATTTTTGTCGAAATACAATTTATCTTCTGTTGATGTCTGTCTGAGATGAACTAGATATAGTGTAATCTAATTTTATTTGGCCGACTTTGTTTTCCTTAGGATGTGACCTTCAAGAGATATGTTTTAATATCCTCTACAACTATACATTATGTTGAAGGAAAACCAGGTTCTATGGATAGTCAACTTCTTTATTGCAATGGGTGCAATGTTTCGGTGTAGGTACTAACACCGTTATCAAGCAAGTGATTAGCAATCCAATGTATATCAACCTTGTCAATTGTATATACACACTATGCAGCTATGTATATATTCTCCATGTTACAACTCTTTGTATCACTTGCTTGTACCCGAAACATCGCACCCATTGCAATAAGGAATTTGACAATCCATAGCACTGGTTTTCCTTCATCTATACAAGACCCGTGAAGATCCGGGGTAGAATAGGTCTTCAGCAACCCATTCTTCCCACAAAAGGCGACTATGCTTGTCGTAAGAGGCGTCTAACAGGATCGGCTGGTCAGGCTCTCTGACTTGGTTGACACATGTCATCGGTTCCCAATTGCGCAGATCGATGCTCATGCTGTTGATCACTGGATTGTCTGGTCCAGACTCGATTATTTACAGACCGCCGCCATATAGCTGGAATATTGCTAAGTGCGGCGTAAAACTAAACACACTCACTCACTCATCTATACAACTTCTAAAATGCCTCTCAAAGAAGTTATACATTATGTTGTGGAAAAGTGTCATGATTCCATAAATATATTCTCTGAAAATATGGAGGAACATGATGTCGTATGCAGAATGAGTACAAAAACATTTAGGACTGGAATGTGTATGCTATCCTAGGCCAAGTTGTTTTTTATAAATGCTTGTGTTATTTTTAGGAAGCAAATATTTGCTGATGGAGTTGAAGCTGCAAGAAGAAAGAATTATGAGGACACTCATTTCAGTGAAGAAGCAAAGGCTTTGGGGAAGACAATGCAAGAGGTAGAGAAGAGGGCAAAGCCAAAGACTTGACCTTCTTTGTGTGTGATTGTGAACTGTTACGCTGCAGTGGAGATGTACATAGATGGTGAACGACAACGTTACATAATCAAGTCGTGGATTACTGTGACCCTTTCTTTACAAAACTGGAATTCATTGAAGTTGTTTTTTTTGAAAGGATTGAGACACATTTTAACATTACTTTCAATGCAATGAAATCAACATAAGCATTAAGTCCTGCTTTCACCCTCTATTTTTTTTGTTATCCGTGAAATACAAGTTACCTCTACAAAGTCAAACTATAATAACATGAGCTTGGAGGTTTAAGTACCACAGTTGGAATTATTGACATTTGCTGGAGATCAGAGCTGAATATCAGCCTTTGTGTAGATGAATATCATGTAATGTATCACTGTGATTACAACATGTATGATGCCACATATGTCAAGACTCTTGCCTTTATAATGTATCGATCCAGTGCGTTACAAGAATTGTAGCTGTGTGCTACAAAGTTATTTATGTTGTCATGGTAGTTCATGTATGTTCTGCATTGTTTACTTTTGAAAGTCATGTTATGTTGATGATAAAAGATGGTAAAAGGCTCCCACTGGAGGGGATGACAAATTATTGGAAGTGCAAGTTTGAGAAATTCAAGAAACATTATGGCTCATGGCGGATAGCGGGTTAGCCCAGTGGTTAAACTGTTCATCTGATTCTCCATCTGGTTACAACATATAATCAGTTGTCTCAGTAGTGTGGGTTCGAAATCTCAAATGGGATTCAACCCCCGAAAGTACTAGAAACTGTACTTTTATGCGAAAGTATAATCCCAAGTGTAACATGTTATAGTCTGTCTCACAGTCCCTGAACCACGCTATTTTCCTTAGTGCCTAGTCCTCCCTGCAATGCTAAAGCCCTAAATGAAGCAAGTCTAGAATCTCCCAACTCACTGGGGCTCCTTTTCAATTTAATTGGATTGATTTGTTACAGTCAAAATTATATATATTCAGGGACTAAGCTTAGTCATCATGTCACACTTGACCACTTTCTACATGTCTAGAATGTGAATTCTGTATGTGGTCTTCCATGCCAGGGTGAAAATAATCTCCAGACAGTTGCTGGTCATGATAATGTTGATGTAATACTATATATGATATGATAGAGGCATGTGGTAGTATTATATGATAGAGGCCTCGTTATATAATCTAAATTCCATCCAGAATATTCTGTACTGTGCTTGATTATTCAGATTACACTTGACTCCAGCTGCATCTCAATAAACATGAATTTCTTTACCACTGCTTACATGAGAATACATTCCTGACCACTAGTTATTGTCAAAACACTATGAACCCAGGGACTTACAGGACGTGAATTCCTGCGTCCTATACGCATAAAAATTGACAATGGATGCAACAAAATTTATTAGCGCATCCACAGGGACTCAGGAAAAAGTCCAAATACTTTGGTAAAAATTCCAATCAAGTAACAATAAGTTATCACTGAGTTTGCTACTACTGGTACTAGCTGAGTTATGGTATCATTTGCAATTTCATTACTGTAACAATTAATGTGATGATCATGATACACAATACAATTACAGTATTAATAATAACATTACGTGTCTGGGACCCCCATGTTGTTGTCCAGGATCCCTGAAAAAATAAGAGTATGAGTCCCAGGGACCCTCAAATACAGGACTCAAGGTATATCCCTGGAACCTCTTTTGAATCTTAATCAAAACAAGCAAAAACAGTTACAACATTGTTTCATTATACACTACACTGTCATATAACAGTAAAATAGTCTGGCTCCATACTGAACAATTATGTGTGAATAATATAAGCCACAGATAACAGCATGGTAGAGTGTACCATGGTAGTCATTGGCAACAGCTCAAAAGGGGACAAGGCATGGGACTATTGCCAGCTCCAGCAAGTTTAAACCATGTTGTTTTGAACTTTCTTTGTTAGGCTGCTAACACAAACCTATATTCTAGTTACAAAGTATGCCAATATAATGTCTCAAGTTCCTACTTATCATTAAGATCTGGGCTGGACCAGGTCATGAAATAGGGACTATACGGCTGAGAATTATCTCCCTTCTTACCATTCAAACAATACATTTTCAATTTTTATTTGTGATACATGTCAAAGGATGTCTGCTGACATTTTTTCTGCCATATAAGTCAGAATATGTCAAATCTGACCAGCAACAATTTTCATGGGGATGTTAAGGCCTTGATTTTGAAAAGTATTGTTTTGATTAGAGAACATCCAATGTATTTTAGAGTTTGGAAACCTGGTTTACATGATGATATAATGTTAAAATATAAATTTATATGTTTTCACAGAGATAACTACGCAGCGCAAAGCTTCAGTGTGTTTATACATTGATAAACAAGAAAAAGTTATAATGTTTGTTGTTGGATGTTTGTCTGCATGCTATATTATGTATCCATTATACATTAAATGTATCAGAGATGACATCAGTTGTGTATGATGCTGTGTATAAAGTAACATTTAAAGTAATATTTGTGAAAATAAAAATTTCATTCAGTTGAATATTGAAATCATGATTTTTACACTGGCTCCAAGTGAGCTCTTTGATACACTATGCTGTGACTGCTGCCAAATGGAGTCTATCAAATAACTAGCAAAATAAAGAAACATCGACAAAACAAATACTTGTTGAGTCATTTTTTACTGAGGCAAAATATTGAATTAACTTCACGGATACACTGGATATTCATTAAATATGTAAAATCAGAGATACCCAGCATTCTGTAGGACCGAGGTGGGTAAATGCCATGTTGGGCCCATAGTTTCAGGCTGTCTGGGTCCTTACAGAGTTGACGCAGTAAGGGGCAGTATTTTACATGATGGACGTGAAGGGGTTGATCAGTGTCTGCAGCTTCCTTAGGGTCCTGATGGCACTTGGCAACTGTTTATATTTCAAACACTGGGACACCTGCATATAATTCACTGTTCTTAACATGAAGTGTGAACTGTAATTACTGTGCTGGGCAAAGTTATACACAGGGTGGAAGCGCTGTCCACACGAAATGTGGAGTTGCCCCCCAAAGCAACTCCATTTCCTCGCTGGACAGTGAAAGAAGGACACGTGGCGCAAGAGTAAAGGTAGGTTTTTCCTCGCATTTTCATTATTTTGCAAGTATACTAGGTTTTGCCATTTGGCAGAAGGATCTAGAAAGTTACAGATCTTTCTGTAATAGCTTGACACCTGTGTGATATATACAATCAAATTATGTTACTACTGGAAGTGTTTCATTACAGGAAAGAAACACTTTTCATTTACTTTGGTCTTTGAATTATTGTGCACACAGACACAACTATACACACGCTAGAGTGTTTTAGCTTGACAACGGCGTAAGTATTCACATCGTTCTATGCAACAAACATGACGTTTTCCATCAAGTCGTATGCCTCGTTATTTTCTCATTTAAATATGGAACGAAAATCCTTTGCTTGAAATAGAGTGCCTCGGCAATAGCAGATAAATCCGTTTAATAGTAATTTTAGAACGAACAAATGCACAAAAATCTACAATACACATTTCATAGAGGAGTCAGTGAAAAGCCACAGGAAGCACGTGGATTTGTTTACATCGGAAGGAGCTGCCACACTTACATAAACAATTTTCATTGGCTGCTGTGGTGTACTTTACCCAATGGTCGTCCGCGATACGTTTAACCTTGGAACGTGTGCACTGTCGCTGGCGAAAGGGGAAGGCAGCGATGTCAAGACGAAAATCTCCAAATCCTGGTCTGGTGAGAGGCTTGAAACTGGTTGTTGGAGGAATTGTCGGATTTCACCTGACGTTTATGTGCTACACGTATCTCAGGTACTGAAAACTGAAGTCACGAACAGGTCGGGAGAGGGGCACTTAGTATCGAGTTTTTGCCACAATGTGAGAAAACGTACAACTTCATCTGTTAATGGTATAAGAATATGCTATATAGCGGCCTTTTTAGTGTGGATTTCTACACTGTTATACTGTATTATAAAGTTGGAGTGACCACAACCAAGGGATTAGGTGCAATATGCATGATATCCTATGTATCGTTGATCTCTGTTAAAGGTTTGTGTAGCCGAGTGGCGGGTATGTCTAACTGTAGGACCCCACCTTAGGTTTGGACAACTGATTTCTATAGCTTCTGAGGGTATTTGTGAAATACTGACTTTTAATATGTATTTAATCAGCTTGTCACAACTTTTTAGCCTCATTACTCCTTATCATTACTGTACATCGTTTAGTTTTACACAGCACACAGCAATATTCCAGATATATGGCAGCTGTCTGTAAATAATCAAGTCTGGATCAGACAATCCAGTGATCAATAGCATGAGCATCGGTCTCTGCAATTGGGATGAGATGACATGTGTCAACCAACTCAGCGAGCCAGACCGCCCGACCCCTTTAGTCACCTCTTACGACAAGCATGGGTTACCGACGATAAATTCTAACCTGGATCTTCACAGGTTATTGAAATCATGAACAATCAGGATACCATGACATGTCATCCAGCCAACCACTGAACCTGACCACCCGATCTGTTTATAGTTCCCTGTTACCACAAGCATTGCTTTCTCTGGGCCGTGTTCTTACATCAGTTCACAAGTTCAGCAGTGAATAAAGCTATAAATACAACTCAATGTCATTGTCAACATTATCATAATCATCATCATCACTGCTCCAAGCAGACTCGTCAGCTCCTTGTCTGCCAACCTTACCAGCGTATGCTAGCTTCCTTGCAATTAGCAGTCCATAGTTTTTGACCGTCAACAAAGTAACTGCAGTTTCAGGGTCGTCTTCATTGGTTGTTGATAATTTTCATGCACTACTTGTCTGGTTGAGCACAAGCATCATCTGATAACTAGCTGGTCTGTTTCAGAAAATATGGCATATTCTTGTCACAGATTTCTGTATGTTTGCGTTAATGGTGAGATGCTCACAGTGTGATGACATCTAGGCCGAGGAACTAGACAACGTGCGGGGAAAAGTGATGAAAATGTTACTTGAAGTAAATAGTTGAAAAGATCAGAGACCATATAATAGATATATGGTCTCTGAAAAGATGTTCTGAAGAAATCCTACTGAGGTCAGCCACAAATGCATGTTGACATTCATGGGAAGCATGTAGAAATAAATAAGTATCAGGTTGTACGATGGCATTTGCCTTATGGTTAAATCGAGTGTGTAACAATATATTTACTGTTTAGGGGAAACAGTTTCACGTAATGGTGGATAATTGTGCATTTTGTCTTAAAGCCACGGAACTTTGTAAATGGGAAGAATATGTTATGTTTATATGTAGAAATTTTGAAAGCAGTGGCATCCTGCCAGTATCTAAGTCCAAACTCTCCAAACACAACCCCATAGGAAGCATGTCCAGGGTTATTGAACTGTTACTACTTGACTCCGATCTTTTTATCACCTTCTTTATTTGTTAGACATGACGTTTCCAAGTTAATTCTTACACAGAAATGTCATGTCTAACTAATATATAAGTTTATATCCAAATATTCTTGGACACATGTTCATCACCTATGAATGTTCTTCAAAGAAGGGGCGGATGGGTAGCCTAGTGGTTAAAGCGTTGGCTCGTCACCAAAACTTGGTTCTGTTAATTTCTTTCACTGGAATATTGCTATATGGCAAACTCAGTCAGTAGGATTATTGATCTTTCATGAGAAGGTTATGATTAGTTTTATGTTTGAAGATTGAAGATTAATCAAATTTAAGATGCTTGATTAATATTTCCCATGTAAGATATTGTCTTAAGTATACATGCAACCTCGAGAGCTTTACAGAATGCAGAGATATCAGTAAATACTGAAATCTTAAAACCATCAGTTAAAAAGAATACAGATGAGTACCAGTCTGTCGAAGTATTAACATTGAAACATGACATCACAGTATTCAAAAAGTCACGCCCATGCTTTGGACTTGTTCCTGTTCAGGTTAAAAATGGAAAGGAACTCCCATGCTTTGCCTAGACTTGTCTCCTGTTAAGGTTAAATATTTAAAGGAACTCCCTACTGTGTGGAGGTCTGTTTTTTTCACATAAAGTTCTTAAGCCTTGACAAGAGTAGGCTTCGCTGATCAGAGTGTGAGCTTGCATGAGCCATGAGATCTGGATTTATAATCTCCGTCAAAAGATCATACACCATTTGGGGTAAATGTGTGAAGCCCATTTCTGGTGTCCCCACTGTGATATTGGTGGAATATTGATAAAAGTGACGTAAAACTTAACTCACCATTTGGGGTAATCAGATATCCTGCAAACAAATGCAGTCTGTTCTCGTTTAATTGGAGATAGATGTCATGTTTGTTTTAGAACAGGTGCTCTGACAAGGACACCTCCAGTTTTTTTGACAGCTGACTGCAAACTGAATGGTTATTAAGCTTCAGTTGGCTGACAGTATGTCATTATGTACCCTGTACAGTGTGGATAACTGATTGCAATATAAATCACTGGCTTTTTTGGTCTAATCTCGATTTTGCCTCAAATAGCTGAAAAATTGATGATGAAGTGTTAAGCAATATTCTCTCACTCTCTTGCGTGCTGCATTACGGTAAACAAAAAAGAAGAAGAAGAAGGGTTTATTTTGTATAAAGGCCATACGACCCATCGTACAAGGTTGTACAATAGTGATTTTGGTTACCATTTTCATACAACAACGCTAACAGGAGCAGAATAAACATGTTCTAAGAACTTGACAAAATTATTTATGATGTTATTGTCGGATGATGTACATATGCTGCGGAGTGAATAATAATATCCATGGACCGTTTTCGGAATGTAACGCCGACGCATATCCTCATAGCGTTTACAAATATAGACAATATGGATTTCATCCTCAATACTTTTACAGTGTTTACATAACACAATATCATCATTGCAGGAGGCAGTACCTCTTCTAATACATTTGATACCTACTGCATTACACCCTGATCTAAATAATGTGAACAGACGCTTGCACTTATTACTTATGTTCAATGATAAATTTTTTTTTTTTTTGCTTAAACAAAAAAACCACTTTGGGTATTATACATGGTGCGGCAGTGACTGAAGTAGCCTTAACCTGACATTTAATAAACTACCAGTACTCTCTTCTTCCACAGGAGGACATACTACGAGACACCCCTGGAGAGGAAAATCCGAGAATCTAATGTAGCAGTTTCACAAGAGCGATGAGATGCCATGTAGAGATGTGATACGTGGATTAATATCGAGACTGTTGCGTGATGAACAGTGCCAGATGTTCACCTGCAAACTGGTGTGTGACTGATGAACCTCAGAGACTGGAGTGGTACACAGGGTTGTGGAGTAGCTCTGGGTGGGATGTTTTAGGCTGTACAACTAGTAACAAGTCCCTCCATATATGTTCATGTACATAAATTTGTTATTGTTTCAAATGTATGTATCCTTAGGATCTTACTGACCCTCTGCCAGTCAATTGTAGGTGTTAGTGTTTTTATAACAAAACATGACACACTGAAGATTCTCTAAAACAGGACTTTTTCATGTGACAATGTTTATTTACAGATTCTATTTGGTCTCTGGTATTTATAAAGCTGTTCATAAAGTTTACACAGCCCAAAGTTTTAATCTCTCTGGAAACAAATCAGGGAATTATCAGGGAATTTTTATAGGGGAAAACTGGGAACCATGCATGTTAAAATGGACTTTAAATCCAAGTTTAAAAATTCCTGTTAATAGATTTGATCCTATGACACATTCCAGCTCAGTCGAATAGCTGCAAATTACATGTGTATGCAAACAAAATCCACATAATTTGTCTATAAAAACAACAACAGTTTATTTGATTGAATATGTAACTAAGTGAATGAGTTAATTTTTAAAACTGTAACAGGAGAGTCCTCAGGTAGTCAAATTTGTGAATTTGTGAAACTTTCAAATCCACATATATCTGATCCAGGGTTACACACCTCAGCTAGCCATACAGTCAGTCGTACATACCGTCCAAGTTTTAGGTTTTAGTCAGTCTGGCTGCCTTCATAGATTTCACACCAACCGTGAGTCCAAGCATGATAGATGAACTGCTCATGGTTTAAATTTGACCCGACAGCAGACGCATATATGAAACGTTTCAGTTAACACCCCATGTTGTCCAGCTATAAAACAACAAACAAATGAAAAAGAACAAAAACTTCTCTAGCATCCCCCTGCCCCCAGACCTGTGCCCCCAAGTTGACATCTGTGTGTCCCCAGCTCAGCATCTGTATTGTATGAGCCCACTCCGGCCAAGTCTGCATTAAACTTTGATTCTCATTTCATTCTTCATCTCGTGCATGGCTCTCGACAGTGGGTAGCTTAGTAGTTAAAGCGTTCGCTTGTCACGCCAAATACCCGGGTTTGACTCTCGACATGTGTACAATGTGTGAAGCCCATTTCTGTCCCCAACTGTGTTATTGCTGGAATATTGCTAAAGTCAGTGTAAAACTAAACTCACACACTCACTCTGCATGGCTTTGTAGTACATGGTGGATTCATTGGTGTTTACATAATTTGTTTCAGTAAACAATAAAAACATTCATTAGACACTTTATTCAAGCCTTAAAATAAATGGCACATTTTTTTGTTTCCAACAATGTATTTATGGCAGGAGAATGTAGCAGCATTTTTAGACTTGAATTTAAGTGCAAATTTCATTTTATGCACTTTAACTCAAACTTCAGCACATCACCTCCAGCTGAGGTCATGGTCAATAGTGGTATGAAACATTGAAATTTGACATTTTGGATTACTTCCTTCGAAATTTAAAACGTTTTACAATCACTTGAATTTCAACGCTAATACCTGTGGTGTGTTGGTTGGATGAAATGTCAAGGTTAGTTTGAAGCACATTTAGTCATGAAAAGACCAGTGAATGTTTTCTCTCAGAAAGTATTGGCAGCAGACATGAAGACTCCATGTTTATGACAAGGTTGCGTTTAATTGTCTCCCTTGGCACACTTCAATTGCTCTCTGACAAAACTCCAAAATTTACCGACTCAAACGTCGCTGGAAAACATAACCTCTCCAAACCTCAGGATGGGGGTTCGTTTGGAAGTTTGGCGAGCGAAAATTGGAAGATTTGTCAACCCCATGGCAAGGGCAGAAAACATTGATAAAATTCAACCATACAACCCCACATCGCAATGGACGCCACATATGGCCATGGGATATAGACTATTGCTATGTGGTACTCGCATGCTTCTTGTGAGCTCTCTCGGCACAAACATGTCGACGTGGCAGTGGATACCTCACCAATCTCGCCTTTCATACACAGGGTTGGGGCGGAATCAAAGATAGGGCGTTAACCTCTGGGTAAGAGTTCCGCCCGTAACCCCCGCTTGAAATGTATTCTATTTATTAAGATTATTTCAAGGTTTTAGGGTTAGGTTTAGGGTCTTGGGGTAAGGGTTAGGGCGTGGTTTAGATTTAGGGTAAGGGTTCGTGTTAAGGTGTTTTGATAAAAAACCCAACAACATTTGTTCTTAGGTATAGAATGATAAAATGAAACGGGGTTACGGGCGGAAAACTTTCCATCAAGAAGAACGAAGTCGACGCAACAACATGGTTATATATGGAGTGCCAAAGTCACCACGGGAAACCTTCACCGAGAGTAAGGAAAAAGTGCTCGAGATTCTCAACAAGGTAAGAGAAGTTAAGAAATTGCAGCCCCCTCACCCCAAGAGATATTGTAAAAGCCCACAGACTATCTCCCCCAAAACAGGATAAGGTCAGACCCATAATCGTCAGTATGTACCATTGGGAAGATAAATGGTACTCTTTAAAGATGCGGGAGGTGCTTTTTGACAGCTGACTGCAAACTGAATGGCTATTAAGCTTCATTTGGCTGACAGTATGTCATTATGTACCCTGTACAGTGTGGATAACTGATTGCAATATAAATCACTGGCTTGTTTTGGTCTAATCTGGATTTTGCCTCAAATAGCTGAAAAATTGATGATGAAGTGTTAAGCAATATTATCTCACTCTCTCGCGTGCTGTATTACGGTAAACAAAAAAACACTTTGGGTATTATACATGGTGCGGCGGTGACTGAAGTAGCCTTAACCTGACATTTATTAAACTACCAGTACTCTCTTCTTCCATAGGAGGACATACCACGATACACCCCTGGAGAGGAAAATCCGAGAATCTAATGTGGCAGTTTCACAAGAGCGATGAGATGCCATGTAGAGATGTGATACGTAAATTAATATCGAGACTGTTGCGTGATGAACAGTGCCAGATGTTGACCTGCAAACTGGTGTGTGACTGATGAACCTCAGAGACTGGAGTGGTACAGAGGGTTGTGGAGTAGCTCTGGGTGGGATGTTTTAGGCTGTACAACTAGTAACACGTCCCTCCATATATGTTCATGTACATAAATTTGTTATTGTTTCAAATGTATGTATCCTTAGGATCTTACTGACCCTCTGCCAGTCAATTGTAGGTGTTAGTGTTTTTATAACAAACCATGACACACTGTAGATTCTCTAAAACAGGACTTTTTCATGTGACGATGTTTATTTACAGATTCTATTTGGTCTCTGGTATTTATAAAGCTGTTCATAAAGTTTACAAAGTTTTAATCTCTCTGGAAACAAATCAGGGAATTATCAGGGAATTTTTATAGGGAAAAACTGGGAACCATGCATGTTAAAATGGACTTTAAATCCAAGTTTAAAAATTCCTGTTAATAGATTTGATCCTATGACACATTCTAGCTCAGTCGAATAGCTGCAAATTACATGTGTATGCAAACAAAATCCACATAATTTGTCTATAAAAACAAAACAACAGTTTATTTGATTGAATATGTAACTAAGTGAATGAGTTAATTTTTAAAACTGTAACAGGAGAGTCCTCAGGTAGTCAAATTTGTGAATTTGTGAAACTTTCAAATCCACATATATCTGATCCAGGGCTACACACCTCAGCTAGCCATACAGTCAGTCGTACATATCGTCCAAGTTTTAGGTTTTAGTCAGTCTGGCTGCCTTCATAGATTTCACACCAACCGTGAGTCCAAGCATGATAGATGAACTACTCATGGTTTAAATTTGACCCGACAGCAGACGCATATATGAAACGTTTCAGTTAACACCCCATGTTGTCCAGCTATAAAACAACAAACAAATGAAAAAGAACAAAAAAACCTTCTCTAGCATCCCCCTGCCCCCAGACCTGTGCCCCCAAGTTGACATCTGTGTGTCCCCAGCTCAGCATCTGTATTGTATGAGCCCACTCCGGCCAAGTCTGCATTAAACTTTGATTCTCATTTCATTCTTCATCTCGTGCATGGCTCTCGACAGTGGGTAGCTTAGTGGTTAAAGTGTTCGCTTGTCACGCCAAATACCCGGGTTTAACTCTCGACATGTGTACAATGTGTGAAGCCCATTTCTGTCCCCAACTGTGTCATGTGTGTTATTGCTGGAATATTGCTAAAGTCAGTGTAAAACTAAACTCACTCACTCACTCTGCATGGCTTTGTAGTACATGGTGGATTCATTGGTGTTTACATATTTTGTTTCAGTAAACAATAAAAACATTCATTAGACTCTTTATTCAAGCCTTAAAATAAATGGCACATATTTTGTTTCCAACAATGTATTTATGGCAGGAGAATGTAGCAGTATTTTGGTAATATACCAATAACCACTTAGACTTGATTTTAAGTGCAAATTTCATTTTATGCACTTTAACTCAAACTTCAGCACATCACCTCCAGCTGAGGTCATGGTCAATAGTGGTATGAAACATTGAAATTTCTCAATTTGGATTACTTCCTACGAAATTTAAAGCGTTTTCCAATCACTTGAATTTCAACGTTAACTAACACCTGTGGTGTGTTGGTTGGATGAAATTAGTTTGAAGCACATTTAGTCATGAAAAGACCAGTGAATGTTTTCCCTCAGAAAGTATTGGCAGCTGACATGAAGACTTCATGTTCATGACAAGGTTGCGTTTGATTGTGCCTTGGCACACTTCAATTGCTCTCTGACAAAACTCCAAAATTTACCGACTCAAACGTCGCTGGAAAACATAATCCTCTCCAAACTTCAGGATGGGGGTTCGTTTGGAAGTTTGGCGAGCGAAAATTGGAAGATTTGTCAACCCCATGGCAAGGGCACAAAACAGATTGATAAAATTCAACCATACAACCCCACATCGCAATGGACGCCACATATGGCCATGGGATTAGACTATTGCTATGTGGTACTCACATGCTTCTTGTGAGCTGTCTCGGCACAAACATGTCGACGTCGACACATTCTAGATCAGTCGAATAGATGCGCATTACATGTGTATGCAAACAAAATCCACATAATTTGTCTATAAAAACAAAACAACAGTTTATTTGGTTGAATATGTTACTAAGTGAAAGAGTTTATATTTAATACTGTAACAGGAGAGTCCTCAGGTAGTCAAATTTGTGAATTTGTGAAACTTTCAAATCCACATATATCTGATCCAGGGTTACACACCTCAGCTAGCCATACAGTCAGTCGTACAGACCGTCCAAGTTTTAGGTCTTAGTCAGTCTGGCTGCCTTCATAGATTTCACACCAACCGTGAGTCCAAGCATGATGGATGAAATCTGGAGATGGATGTGACGTCACATGGGCTGGACGTGTTTTGGATCGCTGAGAATATCAATGTGAGATTTCGACGAAATATTGAAGAAGCCAAGTGGGTACAGGTTCTAAATATGAAAAGTATGTAAGATAAACATTTCTGTTATGATATAGCTGCGTTTTGGAAGTAGATGAGCTGTAAAAAAGTGGATTTTTATGGATTTCACCACCGACTGCAGTACAGACCAAGTATAGTTTTGATCCACATTTCTATGTATATCTCCTCATTGATTGGTTCTAACGTTATTAATTCAAACTCTAGCGTGTAAATTCCGAATTGCCACGAAGAGCTGAGATAGTACCCCCGAAAGCAATGCGCATGCTGTTTCGCTTTATCGTTATGTTCAGAGTAATATTGCCCTGAAATGCCATATATCATATTTAGATTCAGACAGATAGATCAGCCTGGTGGCACCTGTGATGACCGGTTTGACGGCAAACAGTATCTCACACAGCTTAAGGCAATTCTCATTAACAGCTATTATCTTAAATCAAGTTTAATATCTATCTAAATTGACATGTTCGCTTGTACATAAAATGACAAAATGTAAACTAATAAGTGTTCTTCGCATCACAAGTTGGGGTATCCAACTATCCATTGCTCAAAGTCACCCTGATTTACACATACATTCGTTGACATAACGCAGTACAGGTAGGCAGTGGATGCTGGGTTACACTTCATGCAAAAGAAAATGCATATAATCTTGAGGTCTATATATTTTATTTTAACTTTAGATGTTTTGTATCAACCGTCTATTTCCATATTTATCACCATCCTTTACTTTGTTGCGGAGATATTCACCCAAACCCGCGACCAAATAATGATAGGGAAACTGGCTGATCATAAATACATACTCACTAATGAATTTTCCACTTAGTACTTAGCACTTTAATTCGATTTGATTTTACATGAAACTAGCGTTTTAGCCTGTGCGTACTTCGATCCTATATGCAGTGATCGTCCAATTTTCGCAGTAACAGTAAAAGTCAAAAACTGATGTTATTAAAAAGACTTGTGTACGATTTTAAATATATGGATAAAGAGTGGGAGAAATATTTTTCCTCTGCACATTGACACTGCAGTAGAAATCCTAACGGAAAAGATAAAGTACATACATGTATACATCAGTACACCAAACAGACTGGTCAATGTTAGAGCCAACCGTCAAGTTTAGGTTTTAGTCAGTCTGGCTGCCTTCATAGATTTCACACCAACCGTGAGTCCAAGCATGATGGATGAAATCTGGAGATGGATGTGACGTCACATGGGCTGGACGTGTTTTGGATCGCTGACCCAACATCTTGGTTATAATATATCATTACTTGGTTGTTACATTAGTGATTGTCGAGGGCTTTCAGGTTAAAGTTTTAATTTGGCAGTAGGTTAATTCGTAGACCAGACTGGTTCGTAGACTTGGAAATTCGGTGGATTCGTTGACGGACCGAGCGGTGGATTCGTAGACGTTAGTAAAATGGAGAAAACTTCAACATAACTGAAGATGAAAATCGATATGATGACTTTAGTATAAACCAAAAGTGTTTGAGTTTTGTGAAATAAAAAAAATAATATTAGGTAAGTTAGAAAAAAAACATGTTTCCCAGCGGGCCAGGTCCGACAAATTCTTCCGCTTATGGGACAACTTCCAGGCCGCTAATATATTAAATTAAGTTTTGTGAAATAAAAACAAATATATAAGGAAAGTATGATCAGTGATGAAAAACCCCATCAATTATCAACATTCAACTACGCAGACCAGCAGAGAAGTAGCAGGGAGAGAAGAAGGATAAGGAGGGCCACCGACAAAGTAATTAACAAAACACTTCAATATACACACAGTATTTCACAATCAAAACAACTCACCACTTCCTAATTAGCATGCACAACAACCCAGTGCAACCTGTTTTCGATGAGTAGACTAATTTATTTTAATCCCCCGACAACCTAAATGACCGTGAAAACTGTTTAACAATTTCATTATTTTCTTGTTGGAAAATTATGATGAGTCGACTAATTTTGTCTGATCCGCCAACAAAGATTACCTGTACAAACACCATCAACGCACCAGATGATGTATTCGAGGAATGAATTACATTAATTACATAATTTATTATTTCACTAATTCATTCGGCATATCTGACTGTCAAGTGTCACCTGATGTCATCAAGTCAAAACAGATAAGAAATAATGTGTGGTACGAGTCCCCCAACCCCCACCCTCCGGTGTTGCAAAATAAATCCATTTCCAAAATGCTTTCTTTACTTATAAACGTCGTAAATTTCATCCTCTGACCATTACAGACCGCCATCACATGGCAGGAGTTCTCACCAGTACAAATCGATTTGTAGGAAAATTGTGTGAGTGGCCATGTTATCTGTATTGCAGGACATACTTCAAACAGCTGGCATCCCTGACTTTCTAATGCGTTGTTTCAACTTTTGGATGACCTTCATATAAGGTCAAGGCCATTGGAGGTCAAACTTATGGTTCAGATTTTATGGACTTCATGAAATATCACAGACCAGTTGTATCGCTTTTGCGAAATGAAGGGAGGTCTATTTGGAGGCAGAGTGACGCGTTTCGAGGCAAGCGTTCGAGGTAAATGTTAAGTGATGTGAATCTGATGTTCTGATATGTGTAAGCTAATTAAACAATCTACGTCAAAGGTTTGGGAGGACTAAAGGCACGGATTTTCCCAAATCTGAAAAAGAGGACATCGTGTTGAAATACATGTATATAAAAATATTGAATGTTATGAAAATAATTACTTTCTTTTGTATGTTTCCCCAAAGCGGAGAAATCGTTATGTAATGTAACGAACACTTCCCAATATAAGATTCGTTCTACCCACTCTCAGTCTTCCACACAGTTCTATACATCTCTTCCCCCCATCGAGACGAGACTGTCAGGCTGGGAGAGTCCTTGAGCAGCAGTAGCAGCATCTGGAAGGTCACGGATGTTGGTAGAAGGAGAAGTCGCATCTCCATCTGTTTGCGTCTGACGAACAGGGGTGAAGCGGACAGTGTTGATTTCGTTCTGCTTGTTGATGCTGTCCATCCGTCTGTATATGGAGTCAGTTGAAGCCCCAATGGACACTTCACTTGGGGGGAGCATATCAAAAACGCACTCCCCATGAGCTCTTGCATAGTCAGTGTTGTATGTCACAGCGCTTTTGAATTCGTCAGCATTATCAGATTCTGAAGGATGTACATGCATTTCTCTGAGTGGTCTTGTTGCTATGGAGACGGAGTCGTCTGCTCCCACAGGGCTCTCACATTTGGTTGAAATGGAGTCGAAGCCTGAATCTTCTTGACGAAAGAACCTCTTATCAAACCACTGTGGGTCCGACCTTTGGAAATGTTTAGCTTTTCTTATGGCCTCCAATAACTGTCTTCCACTTGAGGTAGCTTCTAGATCAACCATTTCATCAATGCCAGACTGCCCACTCATCTCATGGATGTGGCACACGAACTCCTTGAAGTGTTTCGGCAGCCTGTACTGAACACCGGGGCAAACGTCCTTCAAGATGAAGTCCTCATCGGTGTAGTCAAAGTATGCTAGGATGGTCTTCCTGAAGAACCACGGCTCCGATGATTTGGTCAAGACGTGGGTAAGTGCCAGAGAGAAGGTGTCACCCTCGGGGCCTTCGTCTAATCTTCTGAGAGTCTCGTTAGTATGACGAGTTTCAAACAATTTGAACGCTGCCTCTGAGTTGATGATGAGTACGAAGTCGGCCTGATCAATGTGGGTGAGAATCCATTCGTATGCGCCCATTGTCTGGATTTCTCGGGGGAACCAGCGTAGAAAGAAGACTTCACAACAGCATTGTTTCTTGAGGTGGGTGGCCAGGTTGGTGATCACATTTATATGATCCTTGTGATCTTCAGCATACATCAAGTAAACCTTCCTCGCGTAAAGAGCTGAAACAAACACATACAATTAGATACCAGCATACATCTTGACTGGACCAAGTGGTTCGAGGCAGCAGCATCGACAGATTCGGATCTTCAGGTGTTCAGGACCCATGATCCTTTTTTGTTCAAATCTCAATTTGATCTAATGGTTTCTTTGATCAGAGGGCCACCCATGTCCCCTACCAAGGACACAAACTTGATCACCCCATTTTTCAAGAATTTCTGAAACTTACAAAGGGTGTTTTTGCGTTTATTCCTAGATATACTGGTACATACGGGTATATGCACGTCATCTCCAACTACCAGCCTCCCGGTCTTCATCCGGAGCGGAGGGGTAGCCTTGTGGTTAAAGCGTTCGCCCGTCACACTCTTTTAGCTTAGCACAGCTTTACTCAGATGCCTGTTCGACCATTGCTAAGGGCAACTTAAGCTATGACTTCACTTCTAATTGTGAGGCCGACATTTTGATATCATACATATACTTGGAAGTATTTACTTTACCAAATGCACCACGATGTTGTAGATCAATAGATGGAGTGAAAACTGCTTGTAAACTGTAATCATATTCATTCACAAATTACCAGTACTTTACACTATAATGACACATTGATTTGTATGGCATTACAGTCCCATCACCAGTTCACTTGAAATGTTTAAAATAGTGATGAGATTATGTTAAGTTTCTCCAGAAATTCACGCTGTTAAAGGGCTGGATTTCGTCGAAAAGAGAATAACTTGTCTCACATTCTTGAAAAATACACTTATGCTGCAGGCTGTTGGAAAATGGTTTTACTGAAATTTGCTGCCCTAAAATATATATTGGAAGAACCTAAGTTTCTTTTGTATCTTCAGTATAAAGTGTCCATACCACGTTGACTGTGAGTGCCCGGGTCATGATCCTTGTCAGTTGAGATGCTGCTATATACGAGACGCCGTGTGGCTGGAACAAACAAATGGATCGGGTTGAGTCTGCAAAGCAGGATATCAATTCAATCGTGTTTCATAAAACGCTAAACCACGGTGATATGTATCTCTGGTCTGGGCTTGTAACGCATAAAACAACAACTTTGGTCTTAGTGCTCTATATAAAATAATCTTTTTATGTAGTGTGAAGACAGTGTCAGTGACATTATACACCTTGACGCCAGTGTTTCTGAGTTAAGGCCCTTGTCGGCAAGTCTAGACTGCCTCAGCCCCAGGCCTAAAACAAGGAAGGCTCGGCGTTGGATTTCTTTTTGTAAGATATAGAAAAACGAACGGCCCTACCCACCCTCATAATGTGACGTCATGGGTCACTGGTCACAACATAGATCACTTTATTGTCTGGTCAAGATTCTATTAGAAAAGAGTCGTCTTCTTATAGCTGGAACATTTCTGTGGGGGATTGGACTAATAAACTCACAGTATTATTTTCAACACTAATACACCGTCAGATTTGTCTGTATGATAATGCTTCGTACAAGGATAGAAGTGAAGTTCAGTAACCCATGCTTGTCGTACGAAGCGACTAACGGGGCCGGCTGGTTAGGATCGCTGACTTGGTTGACACATGTCAACGTATTGTAATTGCGTAGATCGATGCTCATGATGTTGATCACTGGATTGTCTGGTCCCAGCGTCCTCTTGCTGTATTGAACCGTCTTCTCTAGTATAGGCCGCCACTTACACATGTATCTATTTAGACCGCCTCCGTGGTCTTGTGCTTAGAGCGTCCGCCCGGAGTGCGGAAGGTCGCGGGTTCGATCCCCGACCGCGTCATACCAAAAGACGTTAAAATATGGTACTTGTTGGTCCCTGCCTGGCGCTCGGCATTAATTGGTACAACAAGGACTGGTCGGCTCGGAGTTTGTATAATGTGTCTGAGTGGTGTTTTCATGCTTCACTGCGGCATGGTATCTCAGTGGGCTAGCACTATAAAACCAGCTTCAGTCAGGGCTAGTACAAGCAGCCGCACATGCACATGCATGCACGTCAACATATGAGCGAAATATTCTCAAGCACGACGTTAAACCCAATTCCACAAACTATTTCTATTTAAGTACAATAATCCTGATGTGAAACTCTATTTCACCTCGCAGCCACAGCTGTGGCAATTAGATGCTAACCCCATTATCAAGCACGACAGAACCTGCATTAGTGAGTAAGTTCAGCTTTACGCCGCACCCAGCAATATTCCAGCTATATGGCCCGGTCTGTAAATAATCGAGTCTGGACCAGACAATCCCGTGATCAACATCATGAACATCGATCTACGCAATTGGGATACGATGACATGTGTCAACCAAGTAAGCGAGCCTGACCACCCGATCCCGTAAGTCGCCTCTTACGACAAGCATGGGTCGCTGAGGATCAATTCTAGGGGCTGTCAAGTGAAATGAGGATGTTGACCACCCGAACTAATTGTGTCATCATAACGAGGAAGGGCGTATGGTAGCGTAGTGGTTAATACGTTCGCTCATCACAGCAGGTTCGAATCTCCACATGGTTTCAATGTGTGAAGGTATTGCTGATGTCCGCCGCCGTCATCTTGTTGAAATGCTGCTACAAACGGCGCCCTGACATACTCACAGACAGACTGCTTCTTCTTCCGCAGCACTACTACCACCGTGAGTACCAAGCCACAGCAAAGCAGGGCCGTTGCTGTTGCTGCCGCTGTGATAAGTGTCCTTGACGAGGCTGAAATATACATAGAAGAGACAATTAACAGTAGTGGCAAAGGGCTGTTTTCAGTTTCCCTGAGGTGCTAAATGTATTTTCTTCTTGAAGCAGCTTATATATCTATATTTACTTTGTAACGCGCCCTGGAATAATCTCAGAATAGGACATGGCTGAAATGTGTACACCTCAACAAGGCCATCATCTGTGAAACCTGTCTAAACCGGCACCCCACGGGACCGAAATAAAATGCCGGTTTAGACAAGGTGCCGGATAGGTCCTTGATTGGACTGCTCATACCCATGCCGGTTTAGACAGTGTTAATTACAGTTAAAATTACTTGTTGGGACCGGAAACTTTTAATGTTTTAATGATCAAAATATCGTTGTGAAATGACGGGACCAAAATTGTGTGCCGAATTTGACAGTGTGCCGGATTAGACTGGTGCCGGTGTTGGCAGGTTTCACTGTACATATATAGATACCTTATGTTTTGAACTAGAAGGTGTCATGGCAGGAGAGAGACGAGTTCGAATCACGAGTATGGCGTTCTATATTCATTAATATCCTTTCATGAATATTTTAATCTAACTCGTCACTGCCGAACACTGTAGATCCGGAAGCCGTGTAATACAGAAATTGGAGTGCAATACGGAATTCACCTGAACTCGTACGATTAAAAGGGTGTGATAAATACGGTAGCATCAGTTTGAAAACACATCATTCTCACCCCGGAACACTAAGCCTTACTTGACTCATCGGCTTGATCCTGTGAGAGCGTGTGTGTAGCCAATGGAGAAGTCGATGGTGCTGAAGATAGAAATGCATATATTGGCATAGTGAGGGAGGTGGATAGGGATAGTATAATGTAGCGATGTCAGGAAGTTGGCATGTTATAAATACAAATTATCATTTATATCAAATTTATATTATTGGGATAGTAGGAAGAGTGGGTGAGTGAGTATGAATTTACGCCACTTTTCGCAATATAAGAGCAATATCAAGGAAGGGTGGGTGGGGTGGTGGAGAACAGAACGGGCTTCAGAAGGGGCTTCGCACATTGTACCTATGTGGGGAATCGAACCCGGGTCTTCGCTTTAACGAGCAAACTCTTTAAACACTAAGCTTATTCCCCACCCCATCCCACCCCACCCCAGAAGAATGGACGTAGATAATGAAAAGAAATGGACAGTGACAGTGACTTGGATGAATAAAGATGAATAGCCAGTGTGAATGATGGACAGGGATAGCTGGATGGGGAAAGTGAGAATCAGGAACTGGAATAATGACAATAAAGCGTGATCGATGGATAGGATGAAAGCCTTACTGGATTCTGTTGCTTGAACCTGTGAGGTGATGTCTGTTGCTACTGGAGATATTGATGGTGTAGATACTGCCTCTGTTGAACACAGACAAGGGATGTACTGGTGTAACGAGGAAGGTGGATGGATCATGTAGTGAGAAGAAGGTGCAGGATAGCGAGAGAGATGTACAGGATAGTGAGAATGATGGACAGAATAGTGAGAATGATGGACAGAATAGTGAGAATGATGGACAGGATAGTGAGAATGATGGACATAATTGTGAGAATGATGGACACAATAGTGAGAATGATGGACATAATTGTGAGAATGATGGACACAATAGTGAGAATGATGGACACAATAGTGAGAAGTGTGGACAGAATAGTGAGAATGATGGACAGAATAGTAAGAATGATGGACACAATAGTGAGAAGTGTGGACAATAGTGAGAAAAGATGGACAGAATAGTGAGAATGATGGACACAATAGTGAGAAGTATGGACAGAATAGTGAGAAGTGTGGACAGGATAGTGAGAATGATGGACAGAATAGTGAGAATGATGGACAGAATAGTGAGAATGGTGGACAGAATTAGTGGACAGAATAGTGAGTATGATGGACAAAATAGTCCCCCCCCCTCTCAGAAGAATAGGCGTAGGTAGTGAAAAGAAATGGACAGTGACAGTGACTTGGATGAATAAAGAGGAATGGCCAGAGTGAATGATGGACAGGGATAGCTGGATGGGGAAAGTGAGAATCAGGAACTGGAATATTGACAATAAAGCGTGATCGATGGATAGGATGAAAGCCTTACTGGGTTCTGCTGCCTGAACCTGTGAGGTGATGTCTGTCGCTACTGGAGATATTGATGGTGTAGATACTGCCTCTGTTGAACACAGAAAATGGATGTACTGGTGTAGCGAGGAAGGTGAATGGGGACAGAATAGTGAGAATGATGGACAGAATAGTGAGAATGATGGACGAGCAAAGTGAAAAAAACCGGACAAAGCGAGAATGGGAATAAAATAGTGAGTATTGATTTCCAAGTGGGGATGGATAGACAGCGAAATTGATGGATAGTGGTAGTGATATGGATAGTGGGAAGGATAATGAAGAAAGGATTAAAGTTCATAAGCTTGTTTAAAAAGGAAAGTTTTCAGTTGGGACTGGAAAGATTCCACAGACGCGGCTTGTCGGATGTGAAGAGGCAGTGAGTTCAGAAAAGGGGAGCTGTGTAAAGAGAACTGTCTATGTCCATATGACTTTAATCTGACCTTGGGGACATTCAACTGACAATTAGAACTTGATCTTAAAAGCCGTGGTGGGACATATTCACTGAGGAGATCTTTCAGATAGATTGGAGCTTTGTCATGGAGGCACTTGAAAGTGAGAGTGAGGATTTTATAATCTATTCTCTGTTTCGTGGGCAGCCAATGTAAGCGTATCAGCAATGGTGTAATGTGACTGCGCTTGTTGACTCGGCAAATCAGTCGCGCCGCAGAGTTCTGAATCCTCTGGAGCTTGGACAATAGATCTTGGCGGATATTTACAAGAAGACTGCAGCAATAATCCAAACGTGAGAGAACAAGTGAACGAGCTAGGTGGTGAGCTGCATCAAATGTCAGAATATCACGAATGGAAGCAATATTTCTGAGATGAAAATAGCATGACTTACAAACAGAGTTTACGTGTGTTTCCATGGATAAATTTGAGTCTAGAAAAACACCAAGGTCTTTCACGGAATCACTGAAAGGAACTTTCTCATTACCCACTACCAACGAAGACACATCCACCTTAGCAGTGCTACTGGGTGATCCACACAGCAAAACCTCGGTCTTACTGTCATTTAATCTCAGCTTCCTTTGTATCATCCATGCTTTGGCGTCAAGGATACAGTCTTCGATTATAGACATATCGGCTGGAAGTGAGTCGGTTTAGTGGAACGCAACAGTTGGTGTCATCAGCATATGACTCGTACATCACAACATGATGCCGAATGATATTGCCGAGATTCTTCATATAGAGTGAAAAGAGAATGGGCCCAAGAACGGAACCTTGTGGCACTCCGTATGTAAGCTGATGCGTACACGATTTCACGTCTTGAATGACCACAGATTGTGTCCTATTATTGAGGTATGAGACAAACCATCCAAGAGCTGTGCCATGAATACCAAATTCTGTTTCAGACACTCAGTTAGTTGAACATGGTCAATGGTATCAAAAGCCGCTGATAAATCAAGCAGCGTTAGAACTGTAACATAGCCCGCATCAGCTGCAGCAAGAAGCTCTCTCCATCACATGCAGAAGTACGGTCTCTGTGGAATGATCGGAGCGATATGCAGACTGATGCACGTCATAGAGATCATTCAAGGTCAAGTGATCAACAAGGCGTACCTTGATTGCCTTCTCAAGCAATTTTGATATGAAGGATAAATTAGAGACAGGCCTATAGTTCGATAGTGTGTCAGCGTCTAAGCCAGGCTTTTTCAGGAGTGGCTTAACAACAGCGACCTTCAGACGCTTGGGGACACATCCGGAAGATAAACTGCTGTTTATTATCCGTGTGATCACTGGGCAAAACATCACTGAATGGTCCAACATACAATGGGCACTGATGTAAGAAGGGATGAGTAGACAAGGTCAAGGAAGGACCAGGATAGCGCCAAGAATAGATCGTGATAGTTTGAAAGATGGTGATAGTTTGAAAGATGGGGAGAGAGAACGATGCATTTGGACAGCGAGGATAGTTTTCAGCCAGTTCTGTGGTGTAATGTTTAAGTCGCAGTCACATCTTAAGGTCATGAACTTTGTTCTACTGAACCGTAGTGATTAACGCAGTAAACCGTAGTTTGATCTTAGTGCCATGTTACCACGGTGTTCTACGGTCAACACGATCGTAGTGCCATGTTGCCACGGTGTACTACGGTCAACACGATCGTAGTGCCATGTTACCACGGTGTACTACGGTCAACACGATCGTAGTGCCATGTTACCACGGTGTACTACGGTCAACACGATCGTAGTGCCATGTTACCACGGTGTACCACGGTCGTAGTGCACGGTCGTAGTGCCATGTTACCACGGTGTACTACGGTCAACACGATCGTAGTGCCATGTTGCCACGGTGTACTACGGTCAACACGATCGTAGTGCCATGTTACCACGGTGTACTACGGTCAACACGATCGTAGTGCCATGTTACCACGGTGTACTACGGTCAACACGATCGTAGTGCCATGTTACCACGGTGTACTACGGTCAACACGATCGTAGTGCCATGTTACCACGGTGTACTACGGTCAACACGATCGTAGTGCCATGTTACCACGGTGTACTACGGTCAACACGATCGTAGTGCCGCCATGTTACCACGGTGTACTACGGTCAACACGATCGTAGTGCCATGTTACCACGGTGTACTACGGTCAACACGATCGTAGTGCCATGTTACCACGGTGTACTACGGTCAACACGATCGTAGTGCCATGTTACCACGGTGTACTACGGTCAACACGATCGTAGTGCCATGTTACCACGGTGTACTACGGCTCAACACGGTCAACACGATCGTAGTGCCATGTTACCACGGTGTACTACGGTCAACACGATCGTAGTGCCATGTTACCACGGTGTACTACGGTCAACACGATCGTAGTGCCATGTTACCACGGTGTACTACGGTCAACACGATCGTAGTGCCATGTTACCACGGTGTACTACGGTCAACACGATCGTAGTGCCATGTTACCACGGTGTACTACGGTCAACACGATCGTAGTGCCATGTTACCACGGTGTACTACGGTCAACACGATCGTAGTGCCATGTTACCACGGTGTACTACGGTCAACACAACGGTGCAGTGGGGTCATCTACGGTTAAAAAAGGGGGAGCTAAGGTCAACCACGTTCAACCACGTTCAAACTACAGTAACAGTAGGGTCTTTGCATTCAAGCTTACCTTAGAGTTATTTTAAACCGGATGAGAAAGTTTTGGTCTAACCGACGCTTAAATACGTCTAACTACGTTTAACTGAGGTGAAATACGGGTCTACTACGGTCTGTTACGTTCAGCCTCCACTACGGTCAACTACGTACGTGTCCGTAAGATATGACCGCCGCTTTATACAACTGACCAGGAGTGCTCGCGAGACCTGCATCACCAAGAAATGTCTTCCAATTTCTAGTGAGAACCGCGTAATAATATATGGAATACTGTTAAAAACGGTGTTAATCCATCTAATTCACTGATCAGAAGGTTCTGGGTTCGATTCCCGTCATCAATAATGAGCGAGTTTAGTTTTACGCCGCACTCAGCAATATTCCAGCTATATGGCGGTTGTCTGTAAATAATCGGGTCTGGACCAAACAATCCAGGAATCAACAGCATGAACATCGGTCTACGCAATTAGGATACGATGACATGTGTCAACCCAGTCAGCGAGCCTGACCACCCGATCCAGTTAATTGCCTCTTACGACAAGCATGGGTTGCTGGGACCCGATCCTCAAAACGTTCGTATAGCGCTATGCCATTCGTAAGCCAATGATAAAGTATGGAGTTACGATATGTCGTAACGTTACGAACCCTTTGTGCACCGGGACCCTGAAGATTAATTCTAACCCGGATCTTCACGGGTTAATCAATAATGAAAAGTTTCCGTTCTTGTCTTCAAGTTTAGATCACTGCACGTTTGATAATCTGAGCCCAAGCTTCATCTTTCAGTAACTCTCCCAGTAGACATGAGGGTCTGACTTGGAGAAAGGACAACGCCATACCTAGTGTTACTCATCCTCTAAGGCTCACATTTCGGCAAACCTGCACTAACCTCAGTGACCGATCAGTAGGCAAGGTACAAAGTTAGATTTTGCTGAAATACGAGGATGAGTCTTGCTTAGGAAAAGCCATTTCTAGGTGGATATTGATCGTGGTGGATCGTTCATAACCTCAAAATCCAGATCAAATGGTCTCAGATTACCTGTCCTTGATTTCTATTGATCAAGCAACCAATCAGAATGCAAGCTACACATTTAGTGTAGGTTTGCTGACATGCGAACATGGAGACAGAGGTGGGCCTTGCATAGAAAAATAGAAAAATTCTAGTTGCATATTGATAGAACACTTTGATTCATTGACAAGAAGCCTCAGAGTAAGAGAAGGGAAGAGAATATGAATTGTTTGCTTCTATTACCAACCATCCTATTGTGGAGAACATGGGCGGATCTAGGAATTTTGAACCCCCTGTCGGCTCCGCCAACGCAAAAAAAATATTCTTCAATGTGGTCTTGTCATTTTCAAAAAGTGTATGTATGTGTGTGTGTGTGTGTGTGTGTGTGTGTGTGTGTGTGTGTGTGTTTCGACCCCCCTGAACCCCCTCTCTGGATCCGCCAGATCCAGAAAGTGAGTTAGTAAGTGAGTATGGTTTTACGCCGCTTTTAGCAGTATTCCAGCAATATCAAACGGGGGACACCATGCAGACACCGTTCTCCAGACCGCACTATTCGAGCTATAAAATAGATAAAATGAGTTTGTGACAGCAAACAAGTGGTTAAAAACACGATCACCACACCATTGAGTGCGCAAATGTTACAGTTGACTGGGAGTCTGAGTGAGTATATCATGGCCGGCGGGGGACACCAGAAATGGGCTTCACACATTGTAAGTGGGGAATCGAACCCGGGTCGCCGGCGTGACGAGCCAGCGCTTTAACCACTTGGCTACTCCACATCCCCGTGGAGAAAGAAACAATCAGGTGAAATACATGCATGAGTAGCTGATAGAAACAGCGTCTACCAACCTTTTGGGGCAACGGTAATGAAGCCAGTCTTGGTCGCGATGCATGAGACACAGGTGTTTGATGGCTTCTGGTAACACAGGCACCGACCAGGTTCGTGCCTATAGAGGTCATCTGGCTGTATCTACCGAACAAGTCATGTGATCAGACATGGCGACTGTATAAAGAAGATAGGGACATCTCACGCTCTACCCAGGTGGGGAAATAACCCGGGCCTTTGACGTAATGAGACAACGCTTTAACCAACTGTGAGGGAGTTGGTTTAAGGTCGTTTTAAACAGTATTACAGTTATATGGCGTAGTAGCTCAGAGTGGGACAAGAGCTCGAGTTTGTTTGTTATTTAAGGCCGCACTCAGCAATATTCCAGCTATATGGCGGCTGTTTGTAAATAATCGAGTCTGGACCAGTCAATCCAGTGATCAACAGCATGAGCATCGATCTACGCATTTGGGATACGATGACATGTGTCATCCAAGTCAGCGAGCCTGACTACCCGCTCGCATGTGTTGCTGAAGACTCATGATCTTCACGGGTAGAGGGGGCTTGAAGTGATGATGGTCTAAGACCTTCAGCCAGTAGGCCACTTATGTAGACACAGCGTACTCGTGGTATCATGTACAGTTAACGTGTCTCACAGAACCCACCTGGACCACGTACGTATCTGCCTGAAGATCATAGAACGTGACTGCCATGGATGTAGCATTCCCGGAGGGCGGATCGATTGTCTAGAAACCAGATGATGCACATAATTAAAACAGCTAGTTAGTGAATGATTTGGGATTTAACACTGCTTTGAACACTTTATCAATTATTATTAAACTAACACAATGGTGACAACTTCATATGACCCCTCGGTCTGCGGATCCTGATTCCTAAGGGAAATAACTCTGTAAACTAATCAGTACCGCTTTGTCAGTGGGGTATAGCATGTGTATATTATGATTTGTGACGTATTCGAGGTTTTCCGAGTTAAGGCGGAGACTAACACCAGAATTTAATACTTACAAGTTCCTGGCATTTGGAACCGTGTTGTGTGCTGATGTCACAAATGTGTATTGCATTTTGTTTATCTCGGTCTCCGAAAAGCTTCACCCTATATGTGAGAAAGTTGTACTCCTTCGGTGCCAGACTGAATCTAACTGTGATCCGCGCAGGCGCCACGTAGTCCTTCTCGTAGCTTAGCAATGCTGACCAATCTCCAGGTGACTTTCCATCTACAACATATCGATATGTACGTGATGAATGAGACAAGGGCCTCAGTAGACATAGGTAACACCTCTCCTCAAATACATTTACCGGGCGGTGGGGTAGTGGGGTTCGATTCCTCACATGGGTACAATGTGTGAAGCTCATTTCTGGTGTTCCCCGCCTTGATATGGCAGGAATATTGCTGAAAGTGGCGTAAAAACATACTCACTCAATTACGTTTACAGAACCATTTGAAACAAGGTTTTGTCATCCACGATGGAATATGATATAATAAATGTCAATGGAATATCTTTTTGCATTGAGGATAATCGTTAACCGCTGGATTGACAAACTGTAGAACCCTGTTAATCCACACGAAACGTTCATCATCAAACCATCCGGAGTCATGGATGTCTGGATATACGAGTCATGGTTATTGAGTAATGTCTCTATCGCCTCTGTGGTGTAGTGGGGAGAGCCTTTGCCCTGGGAACGGAAGGTCGGTAGTTCGATCCCGATCACGTACCAAAAGTCATTCAAAACGTTGTAAATGTACTTGTTGTTACTGGGTCTCGCGCTGACGCATTAAGGGATACGACACGGACTGGTCAACGTGGAAGTAGCTGTGTAAAACTGTGGCTTTGGTTAAAATTAAAAACTACCTTTCCCAGCAGTTGATACAAGCACGGGAATCCGAATTTCTATGCAGGATTGTGCAACACAGATCGCTGTAGAAAAATTAAAGTTCTGAAACAACACGACAAATAGAGCTTCATTTTTTCTGAGATACAACTCCCCCCCTTAACGTCTACATATCAGTGCCTAAGTTTACCTGGAAATGGCAGAAGTTTGAAGAAATGGCCCTTGGACTTCGAGGCTGGTGACATAGGCAGTGTGTACATCTGCAGGAGATATTCGTATTTTGATCCGCCTTCTATATCCAGGAGCTTCTTTCTGAACTTTAGCTGAAATTAATAAAATCCTTGAAATACATTATGATTAGATAACCTGCACGTGTGACGGGAGGAAGTATGTGTTTATCGATAACCTGCACGTGTGAAGGGAGGAAGTATGTGTTTATTGGTGATGTGCACGTGTGAAGGAAGGAAGTGTGTGCTTATCCGCAGCCTGCTCGTGTGAAGGGAGGAAGTATGTGTTTATTAATAATCTGCATGTGTGAAGGGAGGAAGTATGTGTTTATTGGTAACCTGCACGTGTGAAGGGAGGAAGTATGTGTTTATTGATAATTTGCACGTATGAAGGAGGGAGTTTGTGTTTATCGGCAACCTACACGTGTGAAGGGTGAAAGTATGTGTTTATTGACAATCTGCACGTGTGAAGGGAGGAAGTATGAGTTTATTGATAATCTGCACGTGTGAAGGGAGGAAGTATGAGTTTATTGAAAATCTGCACATGTGACGGGAGGAAGTATGTGTTTATTGGTGATCTGCACATGTGACTGGAGGAAGTATGAGTTTATTCGTGATCTGCACATGTAAAGGGAGGAAGTATGTGTTTATTGGTGACCTGTACATGTAAAGGGAGGAAGTTTGTGCTTATTCGTGATCTGCACATGTAAAGGGAGGAAGTATGTGTTTATTCGTGATCTGCACGTGTAAAGGGAGGAAGTATGAGTTTATTCGTGATCTGCACATGTAAAGGAAGTATGTAAAGGGAGCAAGTATGTGTTTATTGTGTGACATGTATAAAGTACATGTTAAGGGAGGAAGTTTGTGTTTATTGGTGATCTGCACGTGTAAAGGGAGGAAGTATGTGTTTATTCGTGATCTGCACATGTAAAAGGAGGAAGTATGTGTTTATTGGTAACCTGCACATGTGAAGAAAATCTGCATGTGTAAGGGAGGAAGTATGTGTTTATTCGTGATCTGCACATGTAAAGGGAGGAAGTATGAGTTTATTCGTGATCTGCACATGTAAAGGGAGGAAGTATGTGTTTATTCGTGATCTGCACATGTAAAGGGAGGAAGTATGTGTTTATTCGTGATCTGCACATGTAAAGGGAGGAAGTATGTGTTTATTGGTGACCTGTACATGTAAAGGGAGGAAGTTTGTGTTTATTCGTGATCTGCACATGTAAAGGGAGGAAGTATGTGTTTATTCGTGATCTGCACATATAAAGGGAGGAAGTATGTGTTTATTCGTGATCTGCACATGTAAAGGGAGGAAGTATGTGTTTATTGGTGACCTGTTCATGTAAAGGGAGGAAGTTTGTGTTTATTCGTGATCTGCACATGTAAAGGGAGGAAGTATCTGTTTATTCGTGATCTGCACATGTAAAGGGAGGAAGTATGTGTTTATTCGTGATCTGCACGGGTGACGGGAGGAAGTATGTGTTAATTGGTGACCTGTACATGTAAAGGGAGGAAGTATGTGTTTATTGGTGATCTGCACGTGTGACGGGAGGAAGTATGTGTTTATTGGTGATCTGCACGTGTGACGGGAGGAAGTATGTGTAACGAGGAGGTCACATAAATATAGTCAAACTTCACACCTGATCATTGGCACCAGCACAACCTTGACCGGTCGACCGAAGTCAAATACAGTGTTGTATATAGCTGCAAATTGCCAAGTCAAGTCATGTAGATGACCCATACATTCGTCATATGGCATGTAGATGACCCATACATTCGTCATATGGCATGTAGATGACCCATACATTCGTCATATGGCATGTAGATGACCCATACATACGTCATATGGCATGTAGATGACCCATACATACGTCATATGGCATGTAGATGACCCATACATACGTCATATGGCATGTAGATGACCCATACATTCGTCATATGGCATGTAGATGACCCATACATACGTCATATGGCATGTAGATGACCCATACATTCGTCATATGGCATGTAGATGACCCATACATTCGTCATATGGCATGTAGATGACCCATACATACGTCATATGGCATGTAGATGACCCATACATTCGTCATATGGCATGACCTATAGATGACATTCCATGGCATGTAGATGACCCATACGTCATATGGCATGTAGATGACCCATACATACGTCATATGGCATGTAGATGACCCATACATTCGTCATATGGCATGTAGATGACCCATACATACGTCATATGGCATGTAGATGACCCATACATACGTCATATGGCATGTAGATGACCCATACATTCGTCATATGGCATGTAGATGACCCATACATACGTCATATGGCATGTAGATGACCCATACATACGTCATATGGCATGTAGATGACCCATACATACGTCATATGGCATGTAGATGACCCATACATACGTCATATGGCATGTAGATGACCCATACATACGTCATATGGCATGTAGATGACCCATACATTCGTTATATGTTACCTTATGATCACTCGATGTAAAGTTGCTTTGAGAGAAATCGAATACATAGCAGCGTAAGTATCGTGAGTTTCTTCTGGAGATTTCCACGTAGAACCCTTTCAGGTTGTGGAATCCTGCAGCTGTAACATCAGACAGAGAAGGTACTGGAACCCGATATATAATATACACACATATATATGAGGGGGACGGGCAAAATCCAGCCGGACAAAATCCCACCCACACTAAATCCCATAGGACATAATTTCTGTGGACAAAATCCCACACCAAAATGACCAACATAGGACAAAATCCCATTTTTATATGTTATTGCTACCCTTTTTCACCAGTTATATGTAGCAAGTCGATTAGCATGTTTTCGTAACAGAAGCCAGTGGCTGCATTGATAAACTGTATAAATGTGTCTTTGATGATGACAGCTTTTATCAGTGTTCTAAAATGGAAGTACTAAAGAGCAATAAGGGAGGAGTTAAAATAGCATTAGGTGGATATTTGTACACTAAGAAGGTTCCAAATAAGAGCAGTATTAGGTAGGAAATGTTCAAGAAAAGTTGCATTTGAATGTGGTGGGTCCATGAAGACATCGTTGACAATGGATAATCCGGTTCTTGTAACATCTCATGGTCATCCAGCCATACATCAATTAAGATGTACAAAGATGCTGATGTTCTAGAATGATGCTTTAGATGATTACATGTAGCATGAAAATATACACGGATGATGCATTACGTCCTGAGATCGGCGTCGAATCATGTTTTTAGTGCTTATGACCAATACTGTTAATTTATGAGGAAAATGAAATTATCTACTTCAGAATAAATTGTGTGTCCTGTTTCACACTACGAATTTGTCCGCCGTGTGCAGACATTTTGTCCGAGGGGATTTTGTCTGGGTGCGATTTCGTCCTACCTTTATATATCCTATATTCATTGTAAAAGCCGTTACCTGTCTGACATATATATCCTATATTCATTGTAAAAGCCGTTACCTGTCTGACATATATATCCTATATTCATTGTACAAGCCGTTACCTGTCTGACTATATATATATCCTATATTTTCATTGTACAAGCTGTTACCTGTCATATGACATATATATCCTATATTCATTGTACAAGCCGTTACCTGTCTGACATATATATCCTATATTCATTGTACAAGCCGTTACCTGTCTGACATATATATCCTATATTCATTGTACAAGCCGTTACCTGTCTGACATATATATCCTATATTCATTGTACAAGCCGTTACCTGTCTGACATATATATCCTATATTCATTGTACAAGCCGTTACCTGTCTGACATATATATCCTATATTCATTGTTCTGTACAAGCATTGTTACCTGTCTGACATATATATCCTATATTCATTGTACAAGCCGTTACCTGTCTGACATATATATCCTATATTTTCTGTATATTCATTGTACAAGCCGTTACCTGTCTGACATATCTATCCTATATCCTATATTCATTGTACAAGCTGTTACCTGTCTGACATATATATCCTATATTTATTGTACAAGCCGTTACCTGTCTAACATATATATCCTATATTCATTGTACAAGCTGTTACCTGTCTGACATATATATCCTATATTCATTGTATAAGCCGTTACCTGTCTGACATATATATCCTATATTTACTGTACAAGCTGTTACCTGTCTGACATATATATCCATATATTTTTTTCTGTATAAGCTGTTACCTGTCTGACGTATATATCCTATATTTACTGTATAAGCCATTACCTGTCTGACATATATATCCTATATTTTCTGTATAAGCTGTTACCTGTCTGACATATATATCCTATATTTACTGTATAAGCTGTTACCTGTCTGACGTATATATCCTATATTTTCTGTATAAGCTGTTACCTGTCTGACGTATATATCCTATATTTTCTGTATAAGCTGTTACCTGTCTGACGTATATATCCTATATTTACTGTATAAGCTGTTACCTGTCTGACATATATATCCTATATTTACTGTATAAGCTGTTACCTGTCTGACGTATATATCCTATATTTTCTGTATAAGCTGTTACCTGTCTGACGTATCTATCCTATATTTAATGTATAAGCTGTTACCTGTCTGACGTATATTTCCTATATTTTCTGTATAAGCTGTTACCTGTCTGACATATCTATCCTATATTTTCTGTATAAGCTGTTACCTGTCTGACATATATATCCTATATTTTCTGTATAAGCTGTTACCTGTCTGACATATATATCCTATATTTTCTGTATAAGCTGTTACCTGTCTGACATATATATCCTATATTTTCTGTATAAGCTGTTACCTGTCTGACGTATCTATCCTATATTTAATGTATAAGCTGTTACCTGTCTGACGTATATTTCCTATATTTTCTGTATAAGCTGTTACCTGTCTGACGTATCTATCCTATATTTACTGTATAAGCTGTTACCTGTCTGACATATATATCCTATATTTACTGTATAAGCTGTTACCTGTCTGACGTATATATCCTATATTTTCTGTATAAGCTGTTACCTGTCTGACGTATATTTCCTATATTTACTGTATAAGCTGTTACCTGTCTGACGTATCTATCCTATATTTACTGTATAAGCTGTTACCTGTCTGACATATATTTCCTATATTTACTGTATAAGCTGTTACCTGTCTGACGTATCTATCCTATATTTTCTGTATAAGCTGTTACCTGTCTGACGTATATATCCTATCCTTATTTTCTGTATAAGCTGTTACCTGTCTGACGTATATATCCTATATTTACTGTATAAGCTGTTACCTGTCTGACATATATATCCTATATTTACTGTATAAGCTGTTACCTGTCTGACGTATATATCCTATATTTACTGTATAAGCTGTTACCTGTCTGACGTATATATCCTATATTTACTGTATAAGCTGTTACCTGTCTGACGTATCTATCCTATATTTTCTGTATAAGCTGTTACCTGTCTGACGTATCTATCCTATATTTTCTGTATAAGCTGTTACCTGTCTGACGTATCTATCCTATATTTACTGTATAAGCTGTTACCTGTCGCGGGCGGTTCCCATGTGATCACGACTTGCTGGTGGAATTTCCCTGAGGTATCTTTAAACAAATCGCCCTCTACCTCCAAGGACTGTGGAGCACCCATAAAATCCCCTCCAACAGTTGGGGGCAGAATTCCATTTTGCATCCTTGAAAAAACAAAACAAACTACAGTGAGTTATCAACACAAGTCTAGAATGGTATAAAGGTTGGTTACAAGAACAATCGTCATAGGGACACCAAAAATCGTCTTCAAACAATGTACCCTTGTACAGAATGGAACTCGGGTATTATACCTTTGACTCTCTTTGACCACTACTCCAGCGATAAATATCAACTGAGGTGTGTGAGTGAGCATTGGTTAACGCCGCTTTGAACAATATTCCCGCAATATCACGGCGGGGGAATAGGCTACCCCACCGTATCTCAATACAGAAAGGTCCTCAGGTACGTCAACTAGCACTGGTATCAAATCCTTTACAGCTGTCCTCCTTTTCTTATGACATATGCATGTTACTATAAAAAAAGGGTTGGTTCAACCCTCAAAGTCGCCACAATTAGCTGTACAGAGTTGCCTCCCTTTGGTGTTCAAGAATCCTGTGCGTACATCGATGCTTGCGATATCAATCACACTGGATTGTCTGGTCAGACTCTGTTATTTACGGATCGCGGACTTATAGGTGGAATACTGATGAGAGTAAAAGTACAAACAAACAAAACAACACTTGTGCTCGTGAGTTACACCGGAGTGGAGAAAGTCTAGGATCTGCATCATGTTAGATTTTGTTCTACGATTAGACCACACGCCCTGGAATAACTGAAACAATTTGTAACTCACTGGTTACGTTGAGGAAGCTCACTGTAAATGTTGCAATACCAAATATATTAGGCTTAATCAGTATGGTTAAATTTTGGTTGTAATTATTCCTGGTAATAACTCTCATCAGTTTATTGATGCCTCACACAAAATGGAACTGTGTACTATTGGAATCGTTTGGTGTGAAATTACATGATTGCCTTGAAGGTCTATCCACAGAAACAGCCTATGGGATGAAGTGTTTCTCTGCGACAAGTCTGTATAAACAGTTTTATTCTTTTACTTTTGTAAAAATAAAAGGACCAACCTGAAGAGTGAGTGAGTGAGTGAGTGAGTGAGTGAGTGAGTGAGTGAGTTTAGTTTTACGCCGCACTCAGCAATATTTCAGCTATATGGCGGCGGTCTGTAAATAATCAAGTCTGGACCAGACAATCCAGCGATCAACAGCATGAGCATCAATCTACACAATTTGGATGCGGTGACATGTGCCAACAAAGTCAGTGAGCCTGACCACCCGATCCTACCAACTTTAAGAACACGCTGTGAACACGTACTTGTAGAAAAGGTGCTTAATGCCGAAAGCCATTCCTAAAGATACGAGCACATCCCTAGGGAAAGATGCCCCTTTATATGACACCTTACCGGAGCGGGCAGCAGGGAAGTACATGTTGACGCCTTGGGTCTAACGGTCATAGGGATCCACAAATACAACTAGGTGTAAATTATAGCGTGAAAAATGAAATCGTCAGCACTCGTAGATTGAAAGGCACGTGCAAAGCTCGTATATACAGTTACTGACCACATGCATTTTCAGTAACATCCAAAACAAATCCTGCGTTTGACGTCATCTGTTCACGAGGTGGACAATACTAAACATCCAAGAGGTGATATACATAGAGGATAGTTCATGTGGTGACAAGTGAAATATGATTTATCTATCATTGAGTGACGTGGAAACCGTGATATTTACACCAGTGGTGTAGTAAAGTAAAGACTGTTTACTTCTTTGTTCAGCCACACAGATAAGAAAAGAAAATATATATCAAGACAATACATATCTGTTAACAGTTGCTATCTTTCTATTTATTGTCAATGTTTGAATAAGAACAACAATAATATCCACCAAACGATCCTTTCGGTTTGATTTAAACATATTTTATTCACAAATGTGAAAGGGATTGGGGACAAGTTCTCCAACTTAAAATACCCGCTCCTTTCGGTCTCAGCGTAAACGTCAAAAGTCAGGCGCACTAACACATAAGAACTCGCACTGAATAACTCGTTGATCAGCTGATCGGTGTCGGTTGGGCATCCCATGCCATTTTTTGTGTAACAAGATACTGGACATAAAACTTTGTTGAGCCACGAAATATATAGTTCCGGCCAAGTGCTATTTTCTCTGCAGTGAAATATCACTTTTCTCAAACTCATAAATCTGTCTTTCACGGGGCCTAGTGTTTCAAGCGTTCGCAGTCCCGCCAAAGATCCGTGTTCCCCACATGGATACGATGTGTGAACCCATGTGTGTCTGCTGTTACTCGGGTTTTCACAATGCCTATGTGAATGATATCACTTTCAGCCTTTGTGTCGTAGTTAATCGTACAGGATCTGCTTTAATGGGGTGAAATTTGGATGACAAATACTAAAAATGCCACTTTCATTACCTTGTTGCAATTATGCATAGGGCATGATTTCTTTAATGTTACACGTAGCCACCAAATTCTGTACATGGGCCGGTCAGTCGGGGAAAAACAACTTAATAAACACAACATTATCTGAATAATGTTCTTGAGGAGGGGGAGGGGGCGGACAACAATATAAAATTAGAAGGGTCTGTCGGTCGATGAGAAACACAGAAAATAACCATATCAACGGAAAACTGTGCTTCCTAGAAATTTAGTTAAAATAAAATAAGTAAACTTTGAATACGTATTCACTGAGAGTTCAGCTCGATTTTAAGGTCCTGATTCACATATTGCATGTGCATCTTAACAAATGCACGCCGCAAAATTTGGACGATACACTGGCGTCCTTTCGACACACAATGATTGTTTCCTGACGAAATTCTAGTGTTTAATTAAATATTAAACGAGACTTACCTGTAAGGTGAAGTTTGATATTAATTCCACCGACCTATGAAGTACTGAGGGATTACGTGAGATGTGCGCATGCGCTGAAACATCAGTCTTTAGCCTAGAAATATGGTTCCTGGCCAACAAGGGTGGGAGTGGAGGGCACGTAATCTCTCAGTACTTCATAGGTCGGTGGAATTAATATCAAACTTCACCTTACAGGTAAGTCTCGTTTAATATTTAAAGTCCACCTCCCTATTCTGTACTATCGCGATCCCGTGAGATATTTAGAGCAGGAAACATATTTCCAAAACAAAAAAGGGTTTCCCCTTAACTCATGCTACAAAACACACAAAAGACTCATTGTCTATCAATAATTCTATGTTTTCCAAAAAGTACAATGTAACATGTCACTTGGAAACTCATTGCCTATTGGCAAATACAGCCTAACTCTACAAACTGTACTAAGGTAGATCCAAACTACATCTTCAAGTTCTTGTCACATAAGTGGATTACTCAGAACTAGACAAATTGCAGGGTGGTAAAATAGCATTACTGAAAGTACTGTCATTTAATACTGGTTTGTTGTAGACTGACTGACTGACTGACTGAGTTTGGTTTTACGCCGCTTTTAGCAATATTCCAGCAACATGACGGCGGGGTTTGTTGTAGACAGACTGACTGACTGACTGACTGAGTTTAGCAATATTCCAGCAACATGACGGCGGGGTTTGTTGTAGAAGCGCCCAAATACACTGCTCCAACCAGCTGTATTCAGGATTGTTTTTAAAGGTACTTTAAGTTCACATGCCTTGCTAGTTGATGCTGCTCTGATACTATGAGGTTTAAATATGTCCATATTAATCCCAGACATTTTTAGTATAGTCTTCACCCATCTAGTTATTGTGTCCTTAGAAACCCTTTTGTGTGGTTTCTGAGTCGCTATAAACAAAGCAGTCTCTTCTCCTCGAAGCTCATTGGTTTGTTTACAGTATTGAGTTAACAAGGAAACTACACACGGTACTTTGTCAGGGTACCTCTGAAATGAGAGTTCTTGTTGTTGGTAACCAGGACGTGTCTGTTTTAACAGATCCCCAAATCTGATCTTGACCTGTGTATTAGAGATGTCAACATTTCTGTTGTCAATCACATGAAGCGACTGAATTCTCTGTCCTGACAGGAGTAGGATCAGAGTTAGTAGCTTCATTGATAGCACCAGCAAGGACCCCTGAGGAAGCTGATCACTGTGCTGGCATCCCATGTCACATTATAACGAGGTGGGCGGTGGGGTAGCCTAATGGTTAAAGCGTTGGCTCGTCACGCCGAAGACCCGGGTTCGAATCCCCACATGGGCACAATGTGTGAAGCCCATTTCTGGTGTCCCCCGCCGTGATGTTGCTGGAATATTGCTAAAAGCGGCGTAAAACCAAACTCAGTCAGTCAGTTATAACGAGGTAAGGAAGGCCTCAAATTGAAAATACCTCTCATAAATCTTGTGACGGTGGGGTGTTGTCCAAACTGTGGATTAGTCAGTTCTGGTGTCTTCACAATATTAGACAGGGCTAATCTGGCAGTGTTAATTGCAGAATAGCTTAGTCCTAACTTAAACAGGTGAGCTAGGAAGTCCAAGGCCTGCCTCAAAGTGGGTGAAAAGGGATTAACATTCCCTTTGTGGCAAAACAACATCCACTTTGAGAGATATGTCCCATATTGTTTGTGAGTGGTATCTCTCCATGAGTGCAGTATGATGTCCTCAATTTCTGTTGAAAAACCCTCTGTTTGTATGGATCCCCTGATAACCTGACGGCTGCCAGTCGCAATTTCTTGTGGAGAGGATGTAAAGCTTGTGGTCGGTTTTTCAACGTCAGTAGGTTTGTTGATCTTGGCAGCAGCCTTGGACAGTCTACTAACAACTGCATCAGCTTGGTGAACCATGGCTGGGTTGTCCATATTGGTATCACCATCAACATGTCGGCGGCTTCTGTCCTGTATCTTCTGTAAGGCTGGTCCGATCACACTAAAAGGACAGAAAATATAGTCATAAAACCTGCCCCAAAACAAAGAAAAGGCATCCACTGCTTCTGCACATGGGTCAGGATGCCAGGACACAAATCTATCCAATTGTCTGTTAAGCCGTGAGGCAAACAAGTCTCTAGATGGTGTACCATAGATGAATGTTAAAGCTTGGAATATGCTGCAATCTAATTGCCATTCCTTATCATCACATATATTTCTAGAATGCCAGTCTGCTTCAGTGTTTTGTGTCCCTGACAACTTGGCAAGTAAGCTTCTGAGATCCAAATGTCTCGTTTGATACACCACTGCCATAGTTTCCTTGTTATGCTATAGAATCCTATATTTGTACCAACCATATGGTTAATGTAGGCAACTGCAGTGGTGTTGTCAATGATTAGTCTAATGTGAAAATGGTTGCAATATGCACAGAGTGATTTGAGCACTAACCAGGCTGCGTACAGTTCTAGGTAGTTTATATGCATTTCACTTTCCTCACTGGACCACAGTCCCTGTGCACTAGCTGCTAATCCGACCCATCTTTGAGGCATCAGATGTCACCACTACATCAGGCTGATGTTGGTCAAGTAACTGTGGTAATTTTCCCACATTGTCTGTCCACCATTTTAAATGATGAATGCAAATATCGTCAAGCATAACTTTCCCATCATAGTTCCCTTTTCCGTCTTGAGAGCCTTGTTCTTGACAATTTCTAAGTGTTTGTAGTACAAAGGTGCAAACATCACCCCGTGTCCACTAGCATTTAACTGTCCGATAACGGCAGCCAAAGTTCTGATTGAGACAGTTTTAGACATGTTAGATTTCAGTCAATCTTGACACACTTTCTGAATTTTCTTAATCTTTTCTTGTGTTACATTTACTGTCATGTTTTCACTGTCAGTTACAAACCCCAGGTAAGTCATGGATGTTGTAGGCTGTAACATGCAAAAGTCTCCCGCCGACTTGTTGATCCATATGTCCCTGCCTGACCTGACAGGCCTCTGCCTTTAGAAAATCCACCTTTCTTATGTCCTTTGTATTATGAATCGTAAGGCCTGAATCTGTTTCCATGGCCATAGCGAGCTCCACGTGAAAGGATGATGAAGCAGTAAAACCCCTGTTGGTTTTGTCCGAGCTGTGCAATTTGTTGCTCAATTCCTTGCTTTCTGTGATGTCCTTTATGTTCCTTGGGAGGTCATCCCCAAACAAGTTTGTTGTAGCCACAGTTTCCCCTGAACACAACCGCCCACGAAGGTCAGGCTTAAATGCCTCTTGTCTTGTGTTGTTGATGTCACTGTGCAGACCAACAAGCATCCTGACTGCGTCCTTGGTCTTCCCAAAAGTTCTTTAGCATTAGGTTCCTTCTTGTGTACAACCGCCGACATCAGTGAATCCATGGGCGGTGGGGTAGCCTAGTGGTTAAAGCGTTGGCTCGTCACGCCGAAGACCCAGGTTCGATTCCCCACATGGGCACAATGTGTTAAGCCCATTTCTGGTGTCCCCCGCCGTGATATTGCTGGAATATTGCTAAAAGCGGCGTAAAACTAAACTCAGTCAGTCAGTGAATCCATCATCTGGACTACTGGAATAGTGGCCTTGTCAAGTAGACTTTGGATGCGTTGCAAGTTAATGTCTTTGGACCTGGTCATGGCTCTCGCCTCAAGCCAAATGACCGAATTTACACGAGGTGCCATCAGGTAGTCCAGGTTTTTCGGGCGTTTGTATGCTTCCATAAGTGGCTTAAGTTTATCCATATTCGGGCTTTACGTCAGCCCATCGTTGATGGACTTTGCCAAGTCACTGTTAATCTCAGGCCCGGTTGCGTCTTCTTCCCCGAAAAAGTCAACCATGTCTTTCATGAGACTAATGAAATCGTCTGTCTTATCATAATTCAAAGAGTTCAACTCGATTTCAAGGTCCTGATTCACATATTGCATGTGCATCTTAACTAATGCACGCCGCAAAATTTGGACGATACACTGGCGTTCTTTCAACGGCACGTCACACAATGTTTGTTTAACTACAAACAACAGTTATGTAGGACCATGACATGGTGAAATTACAACGCCTACAAGACCCGAGAATTGGTTGCAAATAAAAATACATTCGAACGAAGTTAGCAGTCATGTTAATGTTCATCACTCAAAATATCTCTCGGCTCGGCCCGATTATGTCAGTACCACACCCGTGCTCGTTACACTCGCGAGACCTGCATCATTCACTCACTACCTATCTATAGCAGTCACCCATGACTTGGGGACCGCCTCCGTGGTGTAGTGGTTAGAGCGTCCGCCCGGAGAGTGGAAAGTCGCGGGTTCGATCCCCGACCGCGTCATACCAAAAGACGTTAAAATATGGTACTTGTTGGTCCCTGCCTGGCGCTCGGCATTAATGGGTACAACAAGGACTGGTCGGCTCGGAGTCAGTATAATGTGTGTGAGAGGGGTATTCATGCTTCACTGCGGAAGGGTATCTCAGCACTATAAAACCAGCTTAAGTCTGGGCTAGTACAAGCAGCCACACATACACATACACACGCATGCACGTCGTCATATGAGCGAAATATTCTCAAGCACGACGTTAAACCCAATTTCACCTCACCTCATGACTTGGGACAGGCCGGTCGTCCATGTGTGACGTCAACAAGACAACCACATCTGGTTGGTTCATCTACGATTCGATACCAAACTGTCACTTCAACAGCTCGGGCAATTTCTGTAGCAGGAGCGTACGTAACTGGTAACTGTCTGTAGCAATAATCCAGCAATATCACGGCGGAGGACACCAGAAATGGGCTTCACACATTGTACCCATGTGGGGAATCGAACCTGGGTCTTCAGCGTTACGAGCGCACGCTTTAACCACTAGGCTACCCCATCACCCTTTGGGATGGAAGTGGTATGGTGACATCACAACTCACAGGAGAACACAACTGATCATTTTCAATGGCAGACTGAACTGCATACACTAATGCTATGACATATTTCGAGATCATGTTCTGCCTTTGTGCAAATAGAGGGCCGTAATGCCCACCCACAAGTCTTGTAACAGACTTTTTGAGGAAGCATAACACAGCTGTACTGTCATTTTACGATCTCTTCAACCATAAAATATCTGGGACGACACAAAGGGACGCATACGGCAGGATCAGAACCAACGTTAACGCAAGCTCATTTCTTTGAGATTAGGAATAACGCCCCCAGTTTGTTTTCAGTAGCGGTAACCCCACGTATCAACTTAGATGGCGGTCATCCCCAATACTGACTTTGTTAACTGAGTGGTTACACTGAACTCTGACCTCTTTTAGGCCGTGTCTCTATCCCTGGTTACCAAGTAGCGTTTTTGTCTACCAATTGTAATAATGAAACATTGCTCTTATTTTCAATTACATAACATGTATGCCGCATTGTCGTAACTATACGTTTATACTTCGTCATGAAATTTTTCAAACGTCTCTCAAAGTTTGGCAAACTTTCCTTTGGACGTCAGTTTATTTCTATAATTTCTAAATTATCGGTGAGTGCACTGCGTAGCCGAAAAAAAATATGTACCATCATTGAAATTATACTTGCCTTCAGCATAATTAAGTGGCCTCGGGCTAACGGACTAGCGCGATGTTTCAAAGACTGCACATGTAATTATGTCTATACTTACTCTCCGTCTCCCACAACGTACAGGACAAAGCGTCTCTCTGCAAAATAGTCGTGAGTGAGTGAGATAAAGACGTTTTATAACTACTGGTAATACCATGGCTGCGGACTGCGGCGATGTTCTTACAGGAATGAATCTGGCTGAGTGAAAATATACATTAGACCAGAATCTTTAAATTGATCTTGTTCTTCTTATTTTTATAAATGTACAAAAGAAAAGAGACAGGTGGGCTAATTGTTCTTCTTATTTTTATAAAGGTGGGCTAAATGGTCAGGTATAAAGCAGTTTTTTGCCAAAGTTGAATGCTGAAAGACAAGTTCAAGTACAAACAGTTTCAACGAAAGTGGACTTTAAATAAGGATTCCTGAAGGAAAATATACTTGGGGTTTCATTTCCGAATAATATATCTGAATATTATATCTCCATCTTATTATGATAAATATCCTGGGTCCGTTTTTAATCAATTGAATCACGCCGCAGTATGAACAATTCTTGTCTAACCATATTCAAGAGATTAGTGGTTAGTTAATGATACCAAATAAGGATACAGTGACGTCACTTCTGCAACAGTGTGCCGAATGGCATTCGTAACTGCTCGTGTCATTCCGGCAAGCCGGATGGCGTCTCGTACCCCTCTCGTGGCCATGTTTACGACTGGGCCATGTCTAAGCGCATTCGGGCATGTAGATGAAAATAGTCTAGTACTATTACAAAGGAAAGATAACTCTGAATTTCCAAACATGGCTCAGAGAATATCCTACATCCCGTGGGCAAAACAGCAGTACAGTCATTCCCTTTGTAAATATGTTTCAGTGTTTAAAGTTTTTGTTCCTTTAGCTCAAAGTTTAAGTTTAAATTGTGCTTTGCATAGTTTAGCGAAGTTTCAAAGTTCAACGGTGCCGCCATTTTCATGCTTCGAAATGATTGGTTTGCCACGATTCTTTGCAATTATGGCGTACAATAGGGGTACGAGTCTTCTTGTAGGTCACGGAAAGAGGCGAGTAGTTACGAATGTGGCGAATGGGTCTAGGCTATTGGATATGGCAGAATGGAGATTTCATTCATTGGCTTTGCAGGTCATCGATGGTGTATGCAAATTCGCTCACATACAGCAGCTGATGACAAGTGTTTCTAACAGTGACATAGACGCCGGAATGCCATCGGAAGTGCCTGACACCTATATCTCTTAAGATGTGATTCTAGCAGATACAGCAAGTTGTCGGATATGTGCAAGTCATTATCAACCGTGATCAGAGACCTTTACATCCTCTTTGTCATGAACAACAGGATACTCGGGCGTCAAACTGTGACCTTTGAGAAGCTTCGTGTGCCCGAACAGAATTTCCAGACCCGCAGAATCACACATGATCCATTGTACATCAAGTCTCAACACACACACGCACCTACGCACGCACGCACTCATGAGGATTAAGTATGTACCTCTTGGTTCCATAGTCGAGTGCGTTCATACCCTGGCATACAGAAATGTATGTCACAAAATGTCACAAAAGCGATGTACCTCATTGTCCACGTACTGCAAAAGTGCCAACCACATTGTGGTAAAAAGTTACAAAAAGTCAATATCTCACAACCATTTTCCGAATTGATTTAAAAGACGGCGCGCAGAGCTAAACTATTAAGTTTATTGATATGACAAGACGTAGACTTTCAGAACATACACGATGGCATAACGAAACGATGTCGCGTCGCAACATGAGTGCAATAGTGTACATTTGACCATCATTGGTTGAGTAAGCAGGTGGCCACCGGTTGGAATCGCCCAACACCTGGAAACCAATGATCGCGTCCTAACTCGTACTCGCAATGGAGTGGGTTATCTCCCATTCTACCATGGCTACGTGAAATGCTCGCATTTGATTGGTCAAGCCACAAAATCACGGTATCAATTTGGATTGAAAAGATTTCACACCCTGCCGCACTAAGGCCACCAACATGACTAACATCAACACAACAGACGTGATGGAAATACTGATGAAACATTTATTAAAACTCGAAAAATACAATTATACGATTTCTCCACCACAATTATTAGGGGATCTCACTATCATAATTATTACCTTCTATTATAAAAAATATACGCGTTCGGCTTCAAATGAAATTTAGAGACTATCAATTCGGTCTAACATTCATCTAATTTCCAAACACAGTACGTTTATCTCCTAATTTGACAGTCAGTTGACAGACACTGAAAGAGAAGGTTAATTAGGGTAACACCTAAGGGGATAATGGAACAGTCCACAGTCTAGTGAGTAGAGTAGGGTGAGTCTAAAACAGGTTCGTTACTGAGAAGTTTGATTGTGTATAAATAGAACTTTGTTGTGATCAAATGATAATCTATCTTCTCTTCTCAAAATTATTTTACTATTGAATATAAAAACAGGTTTGTCACTGAGAAGCTTGATTGTGTTTATTGTTGCAGCATATTTTATTTATTCTAGGAAAGGATTGAGCACTAGTATCACCAGAAGGAGATTGCTGGTGTGAGGACAAGCCTTCGGATCAGACGTCCTTTTCCTACAGGTGCATGCTCCGAGAATACCGCAACACCAGGAACTAATATGGTGGTCAGGGGTGGCACAACATTTTAAGGAGAACGTGACAATCCGAATGGCAACATTGTCGTTTTTTTGTGTATTTCTCGCAGATTGCTAGTACATTGTTACCAAATTTCAATTTTGCTTTTGTTTTAACCAGAGTAATATATATATTACCGGTACCATTTTATTTCACAAAATTTGTTCTCGAAGCACATGCAGCAGCATGCAGCGTTATCGTTCTTATATAATAAGTGGTTTGAGGAGAAAAGATATACATTGTATTTCCACATTATATCACCAAACAAACGCTGAACACAAATCCTAACGGGTTAATGGAGACTGTTAAGGGCAGGTAGTTTTGGAGGTGATGGTTCCTGGGGCGTGATACGCTTCCCTTTCCGCGGACACCGGGTGTCACCACTATTTTCTAATGATGAAAAAACAACATGCTTCTGATATCGCAAAAGATCAACAGATGTCTTATGATTGGGTTGTTTGTCGCTGTTATTAACATGATCTTTAATTATATTCGCCGTTTACGCTCGAGGAGAAATGAAATAATTTAGATCCCTTTTTAATTTTTATTTATAAAAAGCTTAAATGTTCCTGCCGTATCGGATTCTGTTTAAGTCGGACCAGTTTCGAGTGTCTTTCAACAAGGACAAGGGGTGTACGCGGCGCAGTTATACACCTGATGTAAAGGTTTTGTTCCACTTCACTCTTTTGTTCGAAAAAGAGTAAACCTGTCTATTTCAAGGTTATCATGTGAATCTTCGATCCATATCGTCCAATCATCTCCGCGTCATAGACAAGACATTCCGAGCAGGTGTCCCTGCGACCGGAAGAGTCTGATTCTGGATGCGCGCCGGACATACGGTAGACTAAGGCTTAGTCTCTGAATATATATAATTTTGATAATAACAAACAAGCCCATTTATATTGAAAAGGAGCCCTAGGGAGACCAGAGATTCAGAACCTGAGGAAATCTAGACTTGCTTTATTTAGGGCTTTAGCACTCCAGAGAGGGCTTGGTAGTAGGGAAATTAATGTGGTTCAGGGACTGTGAGACAGACTAGACATACGGATGCAGTCGTTTCAATACAGGACAATAGTCAACACAATGTCGGGCGAACTAGCAGCTGGATGATAGTTTTAACCAACACGGATATTGTGTGGATCAGTGTGGCCCTAGACTGGTGTTTTGTTACGGGTGGTGGGAAATATTGCTGTGATGTATGTCAAGTCATCAACAACTGACTCACATACCAACCAGCTCAAACATCCGGCAACCCACACCACCCATCCATCTACCTGAAAGTACCTACTCACCCAGGCGCTCACTCAAACATTTACTTGCCTACATCCACCTGCCTACACCTACTCACTCATTCATACACCCACCTGTCTACTTACACACACCAGCCTATATCTACTCACTACTCACTCACACATACACACGTGCCTACTCACACCCCCACCTGCCTATACCTACTCACTCATACACCCACTTGCCTGCACGTACTCACTCACTCACTTGTTCACTTGCCTAACCCTACTTACTCACTCTCTCACACACACACCTGCCTACCTACTTACTGACACACACACACATTTGCCTATACCTACTTACTCACACACACACACACACACCTGCCTATACCTACTTACTACTCTCACACACACACACACACACACACACACACACACACACACACACACACACACACCTGCCTATACCTACTTACTCTCTCACACACACCTGCCTATACCTACTTACTCACACACATCCATCTGCCTATATCCACTCTATAGCTATGTCTGTTCACCTCACACACACACACACATTGGGCAACCAACCTACCCACTCACAAATCTACCCACCCACCCACACATACACCCATCTATCTATCCACCCAACCAGACATACATACACCGACACACTGAAATAGACGCCCACCTACCTACCATATTTTTTGCTTTGTAGGGGCGGTGGGTAGCCTATTGGTTAGAGCGTTCACTCATCACGCCGAAGGCCCGTATTCGATTCCCCACATGGGTACAATTTGTGAAGCCCATTTCTGGTGTCCCCCGCCGTGATATTGCTGGAATATTGCTAAAAGCGGCGTAAAACCATACTCAGTCAGTCAGTCTTGCTTTGTCATCACAGTACCGCCACCAAGGTGATGCTCATTTAAACCCTTCATCACTCGGCCTTCCTGACACATCAAACTGGCATGATATCACTGATATGACAACTCACAAGTATTCACAAGTAGGCATCGCGTCTTAGATGATGCTTACTCCTTGTGGCTTTTAGAAGATCTACAGACAGGCAGAGAGCTTTGTAAACATGATGCATATGATAACCGCGAACATTATTGGCAAGAATGTGTCAGTGAGTATGGTTTTACGCCGGTTTAACAACAAGAATGTGTCAGTGAGTATGGTTTTACGCCGGTTTAACAACAAGAATGTGTCAGTGAGTATGGTTTAAGCTGGTTTAACAACAAGAATGTCAGTGAGTATGGTTTTACGCCGGTTTAACAACAAGAATGTCAGTGAGTATGGTTTTACGCCGGTTTAACAACAAGAATGTCAGTGAGTATGGTTTTACGCCGGTTTAACAACAAGAATGTCAGTAAGTATGGTTTTACGCCGGTTTAACAACAAGAATGTCAGTGAGTATGGTTTTACGCCGGTTTAACAACAAGAATGTCAGTGAGTATGGTTTTACGTCGGTTTAACAACAAGAATGTCAGTGAGTATGGTTTTACGCCGGTTTAACAACAAGAATGTCAGTGTGTATGGTTTTACGCCGGTTTAACAACAAGAATGTCAGTGAGTATGGTTTTACGCCGGTTTAACAACAAGAATGTCAGTGAGTATGGTTTTACGTCGGTTTAACAACAAGAATGTCAGTAAGTATGGTTTTACGCCGATTTAACAACAAGAATGTGTCAGTGAGTATGGTTTTACGCCGGTATAACAACAAGAATGTCAGTGAGTATGGTTTTACGCCGATTTAACAACAAGAATGTCAGTGAGTATGGTTTTACACCGGTTTAACAACAAGAATGTCAGTAAGTATGGTTTTACGCCGATTTAACAACAAGAATGTGTCAGTGAGTATGGTTTTACGCCGGTATAACAACAAGAATGTCAGTAAGTATGGTTTTACGCCGATTTAACAACAAGAATGTGTCAGTGAGTATGGTTTTACGCCGGTATAACAACAAGAATGTCAGTGAGTATGGTTTTACACCGGTTTAACAACAAGAATGTCAGTAAGTATGGTTTTACGCCGATTTAACAACAAGAATGTGTCAGTGAGTATGGTTTTACGCCGGTATAACAACAAGAATGTCAGTAAGTATGGTTTTACGCCGATTTAACAACAAGAATGTCAGTGAGTATGGTTTTACACCGGTTTAACAACAAGAATGTCAGTAAGTATGGTTTTACGCCGATTTAACAACAAGAATGTGTCAGTGAGTATGGTTTTACGCCGGTATAACAACAAGAATGTCAGTAAGTATGGTTTTACGCCGATTTAACAACAAGAATGTGTCAGTGAGTATGGTTTTACGCCGGTATAACAACAAGAATGTCAGTAAGTATGGTTTTACGCCGATTTAACAACAAGAATGTCAGTGAGTATGGTTTAACAAGTATAATGCATCAGTATCACACCGGACACACTCGGTTTATCAGCGGGACGAACGAACGAACGTTTCAAGCACTTGTCTACCCCACCGCCCCATTCTGTCATGTACCCTATCTCGCTGGTGTGACTTGAGTTCAGGGAAGACCTAGGTCAAGTAGAGTAGGACCCAAGGGAATATAGTCCAAATCCACAACGTACAGCTGCAACCGCCGCCATTAATGATGTGAGCGCAGGCAGATTGTCCTGATTGTCGGTAGCACACCTGAACCAACATATTCTCAACGGTCTTCCTGTAAGTCATGTGGTACTACATGTCACTGTGATAACCTGGCCTGGTTCAAGATAGTAAATCAGGATTTTCCTCTCACTGTTACCCAGTGTACCATAAAATAGATACTAGCGCCATACATGTTTTTTATTCTGTTAAGAGAACTGCGCAATAATGATATTTTCTGTCTAAAATATTGCTCTACACAACTGCTAGACAAAATACACCAATATTTGACGGTGGCTAAAATTGAACAAAAACGGAATGGTTATTCGATAGGTCACGTGCTTCATACGTACTTGGTGACGTGAACGTCGCGTGTCAAGGTCATAGGTGACAATATCACCGTACAATGTAATGAGAAGGGTGGAAGGTGAAGTTTCAAGTTCATATTTTCTTTTGATCGGCTGTATATGTGTACGTAACGAACATGCGATGGCCTGAAAGTACATGAGTATGTTTTAGTTCCAGCAATACAGATATCTTGTCAAAAGTACAATCCAAGTAACATTTATTTCCGATTTCAGCTTGTTTACGTGCTGTATATTAATGTTAAAATGCATCAAGTAACAATGATATAATCACAACAAAAGACGCGCCTACAATATTCGCAACACAACCACTGCCGCTCCTGTTTCACAATGTCTTTATATTTGTATGACCTGCAACAACGGAATCAGACGACGTCTAGTCGGACCAGGTAACAAGTTTTAACATGGTGGACAGACCGGATATTAGTAAACAATCCCGAAATAAATGTTGCATGTCTACATAGTCATTACACCACCACTGTGATTTCATCAGTAATCATAATATTAGGCTATTCTCTTGCCGGCAGTACTTGGTGAAGACACACTTCTATAGGTATGAGCATACTCTCAAAACATGGTCTACTGCAGATAATAACAGCTTTAGGGAAGCTAGTGGGCTCACTTCAAACCACAGCTCCTGTTAAAGCATTCATATCCGTAGGTCACTACCACCCTCCCCGTCTTTACGGTAAAGCTACACAACGACCAGTTATAATGATATAGACCACGAGTTTGTCTATAGACAAAACCACAGGCGTATGGTACAAGTTGTAATAGTCTGTCTCACAGTCTCTGAACCACACTATTTCCCTTCTGCCTAGCCCTCCCTTCAATGCCCTAAGCGAATCAAGTCTAGATTGCCCTGAATCTGCCAACTCACTTGGGCCCCTTTTCAATTTAAATGGGTTTATTTGTTAGTATCAAAATTATATATATTCAGGGACTTAGCGTTAGTCTAAAGTTTTAACTACAAGTCGTATGCTACAAGTTGTAACTGCAAGTAGTATGGTACAAGTTGTTACTACAGGTCGTACTGTACAAGTTGTTACTACAGGTCGTACTGTACAAGATATTACTACAAGTCACACTATTGAGAACGCTCCTTTAATGTTCGGGGGTTACCTACCTTCGCTCCCCATATGTCTAAGGGTTCCGACCAGGCATTCCCAGAGCAGTTTCCGGTCAGACTGACCTGGCTGGACACCAGTACAGACAGGACCAACAGACAGACAGTTACCGCCACAGCCATAGCGTTACCCCCTGTGCACATCTTCGCCGGAGTACTGTCCGACTGCAGTGAGTGATTCAATCCCGGGCTATAGATAACATTACGTAAACAAGTTTTGTAGGTCATAAGTGTTGATGCGTAACCATGAAAGATCCGGCAGCTGTAGTTCTGTTTTCGTTTGCCTGCTATCCAGTTTGTAGTTAGTCTGACGAGTTCCATTTCGCTTTGTGGCGTCCCTAGATGAAACCTGCAGAAACGGTTCTCGAGGGTTCGAATTCTAAGCTCGCGTTGAGGATGATATCTGGTTTATGAATTGAGATGACGCGAGGCGATATTAGGTGAGATGGATCAGTGTGTGCGCGTGTGCGTTTAAGGGCACAACACGCGTGCGAGCATGTGCGCCGCAGTTTCACATTATTACCTCCATCAGGCACATTATACTGACTTTGAGCGGACCATTATCTTTTAATTTCAACAACCAGGAAGATAAACAACAATGCCACGTTTGAACATGATTTGGTATTTATATGGAACGACAGACCTTCCATACGCCCTATCCACATGCAGGCGCTCCACCAGTTTGCAAGACCCAGTAACTGATTGGAGGTTTACCCCTCAGGCCCTCGTGTCTTTGCGAGGATTAGATATTAAACAAAAATTGTTGAGATGACCCCCAACTCAATACTTCACAGTACATCATGATGTATTGTACCGTGAAACATTTCGTGTCGGGGGTCATAAAAAACCCACTTTATTCCTCGCAAAGACAGGCATGACGGCCTGTGGTTTACCCGCTATGTTCAATCAGCTCACTCGCTCTGAAATGGCTGATCTTTTGTCCGCACATATTTTGCTCCATAGTACGGCGTTAATGATTATGAGAAAAATGCTTGGCAGAATGATCCTACACAGACTCCAAAATAGGTGTCGTCAGGTTTTATGGCTGAGTGGGGGTGGAGTGGGTAGACAAGAGGGAGGAGGCGTTAGACGCTCCTTACAACAACCATGGGTTGCTGAAGACTAACCCGGATATACGCTGGTCTGTCATACTCACGTATATTAAGTTCAGTGGTCTTAAGCACTACGTTAAACCCTCATCTCTGATGGAAACTCACGAACACAACAAGCTTCTCAACAAACAAACTGGCGGGCAAGAGAGTGTGGGTGGCTACCTCCAACAGTAACATGTATCCAACTGCGTTGAAGGAGTGAGTGAGTGAGTTTAGTTTTACGCCGCACTCAGCAATATTCCAGCTATATAGCGGAGGTCTGTAAATAATCGACTCTGGACCAGACAATCCAGTGATCAACAGCATGAGCATTGATCTGCGCAATTGGGAATCGATGACATGTGTCAACCAAGTCAGCGAGCCTGACCACCCGATCCCGTTAGTCGCCTCTCACGACAAGCATGCGTTAGTGAAAATCAATATTCTAACCCGGACCTTCACGGGTCTGTGTTGAAGGATGTCCCTTTCATTGCGACTATGAAGATGTTAGCAACATAGTTCATGAAGGGACGACATTTAGCGTGTCCTCCGCCGTGATATTGCTCACCGTCAGACCTTCCTATCCTTGGAGAAGCAATACTTAGTGGCACAACCTAAGTTGTCCATATTTATTAAGGGTACGTCTTCCTCATTCCTCTCCTATGAATCTACACTGTGACACGCGTCTATTCCTGAGTGTACCGGAACGTCCGGCTAAGAGTTTCCATTTTAAACCGAAAAAAACTGTAACTCTGAAATCAAAGGTCAGATATCTAAAAATATACAAACAATATGTGTATGTGGACTGTGGCTGAGTGTAAATTGTTTGGTCGGTATTCTAGAAGCTGGTAAGTATATAAGAAAGAATAATTATGATTATGGTTTACAAATTCGTGTTTATTGCAAAAAGAGCGACCTTTCGATGCAGATTCTTACACCGTTAGCAAGCTGAAAGTTACCCACAAACTTCTAGAATGCCGATCAAACAGTGAAGGCGTCTAAACTGAGACAAGAGGTTGTAATGCATACCAGTGTTATGTGATTGAGTTCATTTATCCCTCTCAAAGCTCTCAAAGTGAGGACTCAGAGCAAAACTGAAACTCGCTTCACTGAAAACAACATATTTTAAGCTATGGCTTCTCAACCGTTCATCCTATCGCAATCAGATTACGGCTGTTATCATCCGATGCCAGTCACTATTTGTGTGTGTGCATTTAATGTGCCTCGATACATAGACGTCTACCGTAACGTTCTTCTCTGAGCGTAGCCTACCTGTTGAAATACATCCACATTTTCTATATTCGGTCCTATTATTTGACACTGTGCGACAATGTCATTTGGTAACCGGCAAATGGGATTTTACATGTAGAATGTTTTTAACATCTTCGGTCTGCATTGAAACAGCATATGTTTGTCAAATTTTGGGTACCTGGCTGCTATATTAGATAAAAGCCAAACAGAAATTACCACAAAGTTTGTTACTTAGTCAGAAGACGCCCACAGGAACTGACTTCCAATCATTACACGAACTACAAAGGCGATTGCTTTGACATCAGATGCAACGCCTATGGCATGGTTGGCGAGCTGTCTAAGGAGCCGCGCTAGTAAGCGAAAGGTGCCTGGATCGATCACCTCTTGTGACCGGGTGTAAAAACCTTGGAGCTAACATTACTCGCAGGCCCTTTCAGTGTTGTCAGAACCCCTAGTGTGCAGTACACAACCCTTAAAACAACCCACTTATCCGATGGTAGGTGACCAGATTGTTCGACACACGAACATGTGCAGACACCTATGCAAGCCAGTGTTACGAAAACCATGTGAAAATAATTAAAGTGCTTATTTTAAGAAAAATTCTCCCTTTGTCTTTTGTTAATGTTGAAAGTGTGTATTTAATTTTGGTTTTAAAAGGTAAGTTACAGGACTTCAGTGTAATATGTTGTGTGTTATGATACAACAGTGAAATTCATGGCATCTTTTTGCTTAAGGCAGATTACTGTATGTACTGTAACTACGGTATAATGCCTGGCAGCTGGTTGCCAACAAATTACCGTACCTACGTGGAAAGCCTGTATCGACAGTGCGGTGCTGTACTTACGGTACAACCATTTTTACTACGGTAATCTGCTGGCAACCAGCTGCCAGGCATTATACCGTAACAAAATCACGGTAATTTTTTACAGTGTAGTTGCGGGTACAGTAACGTGCAGTATCATTGGACAAGATACTACGACTGTGTCCCAGTTCACCCAGGTCCAATGGGTACCTTGTGAGGCTGAGGCTGTGTGATAACTCGCTAACAGGCTGCATGAGTTGAATACTCCCCAGGGAGTTGAGTTGAAAAAAGACACTCTAAGGGAACACTCCAGCGCCTTGAGCATGTACTTAAGTTACGTGGATATGTGCGCTGTATAAATATCGTTATAAGAAAGTCGTATTTATTTTATTGACGCTCCGTGTTTGTTTTGAAAGAAGCGTCAATACAAAGAGGTCAACACCGTAGAAAAACCAGTCTCAGTTATCTTCCCCAACAGATTCCATTGGGCGTAGACGGAGCACAATAGCGGTGCAAACAATACCAATGGATCGCCAAAATCAGCTTTGTGTTTTCTGATTTCATAAATAAAACATACTGCACTAAATGGTTTTGTGGGAGTGGGATGCATGATATCAAATAACTAGGATAATCTTCAGTGTGCACTTGGACGAGCTTTCTACAAGTTGATGGGCATTAGAATCGCATTCTATTCAAACTTTTTATAGCGGTTTGGACGGCGGTAAGTGCAGATAGGTACTCATCTTAGTATGGGCTATAGTCGTATACAACCTCATTTCCTGTTCTTTTATGTACGCTTCTATCTGGATGGACAACCAGCAAGGAAAACACTGACCATACCTAATTAAAATCGATCTAATAACTAACACCATTTAATGAAGCACATGCAATATAAAGATGGTGATACCCTTTCTCTGTCGTCTCTCAGCATTAGTGTATTGAACGGAACCGTATGTCTTGCCGCTGTGAAGTCGTCACAATGCACTTAATGGATTTGTCACGTGAGCGTCAGATTAAGCTTACGTGCCACACAACAACATACCCGTGGTAATGACAGCTATTCCTGGGGTTAAAACTAGAGCCCTGTCTCTACTAAACATTACAGCCACGCTGAAGCTTCCCCTTGGCCGAACATGCCATGCAACTCACCGTTAATACAGGTGGACAACGGACTATGGGTGAACGCTGGACATTTACAATCGTTGAGGTAAGTCTGTTTATTTATGTGTTTAATATTCGTCTTATACAGGTGGCGGGAGCCAGTTATCGATTATGTCTGGAGGTATTTCTAATCTTTTGAACCTGAAGCTGCGAGAAGCGATTAACTGGCTTGCTTTGTTACCTTGGGGCATGTGTGTATTGGTGATCTGCTTGGTCCCCGAAGAAGGAGGTAAAATGCGAGGAAGGACAATGTCATCTGGAAACCAGTGTTGCCGATGTCAGAGACATAGAATGTCCACGCATTGTGTACATGCATTTAACATTAACGTATTTTCATGTTATGAAATACATTTCTATTACACACAAGATTCGCAATATTATTATATTATTATGACGACCCAACTACTACTACCACCACTACTACTACTACTACTACTACTACTACAGCAACTACTACTACTACAACTACTACTACAACAACAACTACTACTACTACTACTACAACTACTACTACAACAACTACTACTACAACTACAACTACTACTACTACTACAACTACTACTACTACTACTACTACTACTACTACTACTACTACTACTACTACTACTACTACTACTACTACAACAACTACTACTACCACCACCACCACCACCACGACTACCACTGTTATAAAATATTCTTTATGTACTCTAGGACAGGACTTTGGAACTTCGTCTCAATTATGTATTCAGACGTATAGTCTCACATTACCAGGAATGACCTATTTTCATATCTGTGGCACGAGTGTGGGGTGTTTGCGTGCATAAAAAAGGGCTGTGTATGTTGATGCATTTGTTGATAAAAAATGTCTTGAAAGCTTATATATATAACACCCTAACCCTAACCATATACCTATAGCTAGCCAAACCAAAAATGACAC